GGTAGATGGCTGAATCCTGAGTCTTGTAACATAAACATAAACATAAACATAAACATAAACTGAGGCTGGAAGTACATGCAGAAAGTCAATTACTGCAGGGGGTTATGTCTACCAAAGTTGCTTCAAGTCTGACCTTGATTCAGCAATAAACACCTGGGAATTTGCTTTGTGAATTCTCTGCAGGGGAAGCTACTCTGTTTTGAACTTGTTCTGAAGTCTAAAATTTGCTGTCTTTATGATGGAGAATACTGTTACTTTCCTATGTCAGTTATGAAAAATATTCTAGTATTATTTCAATTCACCAGAATTATACAGCTTAAACAGAAATCATCTTCCTGGCCATCCACAGCTTTAAGTGTACCTAAAGATGAAATATTTTCACGAGATAAACACACAAACCGTGGGAAAAATACACAGAGCTGTTATTAGGGAAGAAATGGAGTGGCACATGAGAAAAACTACAGACAGAAACAACAGGACATTTGCAATCAGTGACCCCACGGCCTTGCCAGGTGGGGATTCCCACCATCAGAGAGTTATCTGTCTGGTGGGCCGACCTGTTGAACACTAGTTGTCACCTGCTGTATACTCCCATGGCCTCCTGCAACTGACATTGCATTCATTTGACATTGCATTCATTTGGATATTCATTGAGAGCCTCTTAAATATATCTATTCAATAAACACATTGAGCCCCCATGTGTCTGGATATAGAAGGCAGGTCTATCTCTTCCAGCATAGCACTAATAGTAAATAAAACAGATACATAAAAAGAGACTACTACTGTGACATCTTAAGACTATTTCCCGTTTAACTTCTGAAAAAACAGAAATCAAGGGGCAGAATGGACTGCCTTACTTCTTAGCTGATAAAGTATAAAACTACCATTTTTAACCCAGAACTCCGCAAGCTTTCTTCTAGTAAACCATGTTATTTCCCTGGTCTTCAAAATACAGAATTTTTATAGACTCAATATTTTAGTTCAAATAAAGTTGGTAGAATTCAAAATTTGGTAAAAAATATCAGAAACAGACCCTTTCATAACAGACTATTAGGTACAAAGCAGATGCTCCAAAAATTTCTGCTAAAAAAAAAAGCCAGTTTGGGAAAGCAGGGAGAAGTGGCAACTATGAATATCTCACAGCTCTGGACACAATAGGTAAGAATTTCTTTGTGACACAAAAATCAGATTCAATATTGCTATTAAACCAATTTAAGTGCTATAACAATAAAATCAACAAGTAAATAAGTTGGAATTTCTTCTGTTCTGTGATGCTATCTTAGAAAGACCCCAGTTTGATATGAGTATGTTGGAACAATGTGTAATTAACATGAATGCTGAGATAAACACTCAGCAATACAAAGTAAATTCTTCCTTTCTCTATTAAAAATTAGACAGCCCACCCCCCGAAGAAATCAAGTTCTATTTTATAATATAATCAGGCAGTCTTAGAAGGTAAATTTATAATAAATCCCTGTATTTGGGAAACATTACTGCTAAGCATCTTCCAACATTCATCAGAGTTTACATAATTAACATTTCATGTTTTCCAAGAGTTCACTCTGCTTGTCTATGTTACTTTAAAACATAAAACAAGGGAATAAAAGGCTATGCAACTAGTTAGTCAGAAAGGCAGTCGAAGCCCAGATGATACACACTGACTTAAGTGTCAGGCAGGATAAGACAGTGTAGGCTGTAAGCAGTATATCCACTTCAGACAAAAATACTTTCAAAAGCTGCTCTTTGCTTATAAAGGTGAGCTACAAAACAGAAGTCTCTACCTCACATCACTACCTTAAAATTTAGTATCTGAAGTAAGTTTGACTCCCGACTATCAACATTCAGTATTATAACTGGCTGGACAAAGATCCAGTTGCCAGGTATATACTATTGTAATATTTCCAATTTTCATATTTAGATAGCATCAAAATTAAGAGACGAATACAGAGATGAACTAGACCAGAGGTTAGAGCAAGTGTGGCCTAAGTTCATCAAAAAAGATGCAGCCTCAGTCCTACAAACTGTGGGACAGCCTGGAAACCCATACTCTGGGAAAGCTAACCCAGCTGTATCTATCCACTACAGGGATTCTGTATGATGAGGCCACAGAAGGCTTAGAGAATAACTGAGGTATTTCTGTCATCCTCTCCCTTTCTCTTATCCAATCAAAGTCATGGTTGCAACAGCACCCCAATGTCATCTCCCTTAAGCAACTCAATTCACAAATGGAGAAGAATAAGGCTCAAACTTGACTAAGATCACAAACCTGATTGTAAATGCAAATCTACCCAACTCTTCCTCAAAACCTATTCGCAAGGCTGGAGAGATGTTTCAGCAGTAGAGCATTGGCTGCTTTTCTAGAAAACAGAGGTTTGATTCCCAGCACACACACAGGGCTCACAACTGTCTCTAACTCCAATCCCAGGGGATCTGACACCCTTTTCAGGCCTCCACGGGCACAAACATGCATACAGGCAAATCGTCCATACATATAAAATAAATACATTTTTTAAAATTGAAAAGCTATTCACTTGCTATCCTGCCTCATTAAGAAAATTCCTTGGAGCAACATTCTGACACCCTGTTCTTAAAGTTAGTTTATTCTGCTATATGAAGATTAAAATGATACCAATACTGTAACATATATTAGCATTCAGGACAACATACTCAAACCATTAATTTAACATACTGGACACTAATTCTACCACCAATCTTTCTAAAATCTACCTTCTTCTCACAGTTGAGAAAGTAATAGTCTATAGTAAAACAGATCAGGTCCTGGAAAAGATAGATCAGAAAACACTTGTGTATTTTTTCTTTTTTACTTTATACAGATTTTATAACAAAACTGTAAAGCCATCCCATTCTAAACACATGTTTTATTACTTGACCCACTTCTCTCACAGGACTGGTGAGAGGGTTGAAGAGACATGTTCTCTTTCTCAATCCATTTGAAATTCCTCTTTTCTCTTTTGGCTTTACAGAAGCCACGTTTTCTATATAACCACATTTCCTTTCCTTGAGAAAATCACCGTATTTCCCCCATCTTTATGACTACTTCATTACTGAACTAGCACTTCTTTACACATCTCTCTCCTTTGTTAGACTCTTTCTGAAAAGCAAGAAATATAAAGTCTCTCTCAGTACAGCTGAATGTAGTATAAAGTCAGAAAGTATCTGTTAAAGGACTGAAGACTAGATCCCTGTCTGGGCATCATGGGCAAGTCCACAGATCAACACAGTAATCCAGACTCTTAATTACCACTTAGTAGACAAAAGAAGCAAAGTTATCTACTGATACATCTGTTTCTTGGATCACAATAAATTTATTTCTACATTAAGACCCATCGCTCCCTAGGAAGGTAAAAGCAGCATAGAAAGAAGACAAAAAATGACCTATCCTCATGCTCTATTATACTAAATAATGTTTTCTATTTACCACCTCCTCCACCCAGTAGTTCTCCAACTTGGAAATTAATGGTAATTGTGGGAAAATGAAAAAATTATTTTTTCTGTCAAGACGTTCAAGCATTCTTATATATATCATCCGAATCTATTTTCCTGTATTTCCTTCTCTTCCCATACTCACATGGAGGCAGATAAAAAGGATAAAACAAGGGGCTGGAGAGATGGCTCAGCATTTGAGCATCTGCTACAGAGGACCTCAGTTCTGCTCCTAGCATCCCCATCAGGTGGCTCAGAACTACCTGTAACCCCAGCTCCAAAGGACCACACACCCTCTTCTGGCTTCTGAGGGAACCAGCACTCATGCACATATGACTAACACACATACACAAAATTAAATATAAAATAAATTATTTCTTAAAAAAGGTTGAAAGGAATAAAGAAACCTTCAAAGCATAATAAATTATACAAATATAAATGGGTTATTTAGGCACAAAAGCTGACTGTCATTCAAAATTAAAGCTCTAAATAATGAAATTTCTCATTTAAAAACAGATTTCTTCCACTATTACAAGAATTAAACCTTTTTCAAAGTGTAATATGAAAATATAAGATGGATGACAAACTGTTATCAACATAATGTCACAGTAGAGAAAGAGAGCCTATCATATGAAAGGACATGAAAACACGCCATACAGAGGCCTGAGAATACGTCTAAGATTACAGACATTTGCCTGATTTTTGAAAGTTTAAGAAGATAAAAATCCTTCAGGAAAACAAAATGGATTTTTTCAATAAATTGGTTGCTGAATCAACTATTTCAACAGCTTATAAAAGCTACCTTGATTTAAACATATTTCCCATAGTTGAAAATACTCTAAAGTACTGTCCAGAAGAGCTTCAAAAGTACAGGGGCTGCAAAGTTGGTCCAGTGGGGTAAAGGCCCTGGCATGTAAGCATGAGGATACAGCTAGAGGCAATGCAGTAGCACGTGTAGCATTTACAGCAGCATGAGGCAGAGAAAGGAAAAAAAAAAAAAATCACCAGAACTCAAGGGCCCTCTAGCCTGATGTACTCTGGCAAAAAAGGAGACTCTATCTCAAGTAAGATAATGGCAAGGAGAAGACACCTGACATCGTCCTCTAACCTCCTCACATGCCCTATGGTACATGTGTACACACATATTCCATCATGTCCTCATACATTTTCAGTTAAAATGTCACTGTAACACAATCTTTGAGTTTTGCTATGTTGGCTCCAACACAAACACTAAAAAATAAAAATAAAATAAAACTGTAACTTCCTGAGTTCCACAACACAGCAATAACACTGTCATCAATACTAACATCTGCACATCTGGCTATGTGTGCATGCACACATGTTGAGGAAAAATCCGAGAGTATGTTCTACTAGAGGTGGTGAGCTTGAAAAGGTAAAAATAGAGTGGTTTCCATTCTTCGTTTTCTAAATTACATACATTTTTAATACATATATTTTATGACTAAACAAAATAAAGCTATTTCTATTAAGAACTGAAAAAGTATCAGTATATACATAAACTGTCAATATAGACTATCAGAGATAGTCACTCTCACCTGCCTCATTACACAAAGCCTTCAAGTCAGCGCCAACATATCCATGGGCATTATTTGCCAGCCTCAGCAGCTCAGCTTTAGTGAGCAAGTGTGGCACCCTTCGGAGCAGCTTCTGGAGAATATCAAGCCTGTCCTGGGCATTAGGAACCCCGATCTCAATCTCTTTATCAAATCGTCCTGGTCTTCTGAGTGCAGCATCTAGCGCCTGAGGGCGATTTGTAGCCCCAAGGACTAATACCCGTCCTTCACTTCCTTCCTAACAAAATAAAATAAAAATAAATTACATATTGGTTTTAAAAAAATAGAGAGGTGAAAACTGACTCTGTGGAAAAGAATGAATAGGATGGTCTAGAGTATTAAGCATTAATCCTTATACTTCTACAAACCAATTTTTAAATTTTATTTGCAATAAACTTTTATTAAATATTTATTAACTTTTAGTACAGCTATTTCAAAGTTTAGCCTAAATGCTTTCTACCTGAGAAAGGTTTCCAGTAGTCAAGCAGTTTTCCCCCTACTTAGAAGTGAAGACTACAACCTACATAGTATTCATACAAAACCAGGCTTAACTAGCAACTTATCTAAGAATTCTTTCTCACACATCAACTGTTTTCTTTCAGAGGCCAAAATTTTCAAAAGTGTGCTGTGGAATAATCTTTTTGTACACTGTAAATATGTATTACTCTCACTGGCTAATAAAGAGCTGATTGGCCGATGGTTAGGCAGGATTTTCAGAACAGAGAGAACACTGGAAAAAAAGAGGATCAGAGTCTCAGGAGTCAGGAGACGACAACATGAGGTGCAAATCGAGCAGGATGGGAAGTACATACATGAGGTAAACAAGTCTCAGGGCAGCACACAGATTAATGGAAATGGGTTAATTTAAGGTATAAGAGCTAGCTAAAAACAAGCCTAAGCTATCAGCTGAGCATTTACAATTAATACTAAGTCTCTGTGTGGTTACTTGGGAGCAGCTGCCAGGACAGAGAAATGTAGCTAGAGTTTTCCTGCCTGGCCCACAGTCAGGACAAATCTAGCTACAAATGGCGCCCAATGTGGGGCAAGAGTTTCCACCTAAAACCTGAGAAAAGATTCTAAAACGGAGCTAAAAACAGCTTCCTCATTGTCTCTCTCAAAAATGAGCGGCAGCTGCCAGTTTGAGCTACTTGTGGGTTCCTGGCGTGCGCACTCGACCTGCAGTATGGCAGGAATGAGGCCTTTGCAAGTGGCACATTAAGCTGCGTGGTGGATTTAGCCTTTGCTAGTACAAAACAAAAAAAGATGTTTCTGGGCTACACGCTGCTTGGATAAAAGTATAGACCCACGATAGCTCCCAGAGCTGGTGGTAAACGTACCACCGCCATGTTGGGAAGCTGAGGTGGGCGGAGCCAGCAGCCACAGCTGCTGCAGTTTAAAGCAATAGATTCACAATAAGACAGATTCAGATGTAATAGTTTACAATGTGTGTAAAATATATATAGGCTTGAAAGAGACAAAAAAGGTGATACATACAGTTATATAAACAAATACATAGTTTTAAAAAGTAAGGTCTTTAAAGAGACAATAAAATTAATATAAAAAATAAGCCACATAAAGATGAATATTACACAGAGAATCTGGATTGTGTTGTCTTTGGGACTTTTAACTGCAGAAAAACATTTGATCAAAGAAGATGTTGAGTTAAACCAATATGTATATTTTAAAGATACCTTGACTTCAAAATCTGGATGTAAGGATGTGTTCCTTTGGAAGGGAGGCTCTGCTTTTGTTCCCACAGAAAGCCAGAGGCTATGGATTTGTTCCAGAATAAGATACATCAGGTTTAACCAGCCAAGACCCCCTGAAAGGTCTCCGATGACACCATGGCCCAGTTGATCCAACATCCAGAATGGTTTGAAGGCAACTGACTCAGACAATACAGGCTCATGGACTATTCCATAATCTTAAAATTTTCTTTGTGTCCCCGTAAGATACAGTGCCCCCCTCCAGCAGGAAGCAGTAAGAGAAGCTACGCCCAAATTCCCAAATTATATGTAATTTTACTTTGTTAAGGTTAAAACCTTCCTTTTTGAAAGAAAAAAAAAGGGGGGGGGGGAAGTGCTGTGGGATGGTCTGTATGTCAAGTGTGTTGTTGATTGGTCAATAAATAAATCACTGATTGGCCAGTGGCTAGGCAGGAAGTATAGGCGAAACAAGGAGGAGAATAAAGCTGGGAAGTGGAAGGCTGAGTCAGAGAGACACTGCCACCCGCCATGATGACAAACAGCATGTGAAGATGCCGGTAAGCCACGAGCCACGTGGCAAGGTATAAATTAATGGAAATGGATTAATTTAAGCTGTAAGAACAGTTAGCAAGAAGCCTGCCACGGCCATACGGTTTGTAAGCAATATAAGTCTCTATGTTTACTTAGTCGGGTCTGAGTGGCTGTGGGACTGGCAGGTGAGAGAGATTTGTCCTGACTGTGGGCCAGGCAGGAAAACTTTAGCTACACAGAAAAGTCTACCTATAAGAGTGGGTCCTTTCCTTTCACCATGTAGGTCTTGGGAATGGAACTCAGGCTGTCAGGCTTGGTGGCTAGTCTTTACCTGCTGAGCCATCTTGCCAATCCTGATATTGTAATGATTTTTAAATTCCAGAAAATATGAAACTATACCCAGTATCCCTGAATACACAAAGATTTTTTACTCCCTGAAGATGGGATTAAGAACAACAAATTATAAAGAACTATGATCACCATGTTCAGCAACCTTCAGACATTATCCAGTGTTTTAGTCAGATGATCCAAGTGTAATTTCAAAGATAAGCATTAATAGAATCTAGTGATTTTTCATAAGAAAACCAAAACATCACCAATTATGAGTATACCAGCAGAAAATGTATAAACTACTATGAACTTATAAATTTAAAAGCATACATCCAGGCCCCTTAAATGTTTTTAGATTAAAATATCAGTGTCACATGGTTCTAGTCCTGTCAAAGATAAGAATATATTCCACAGATGGCTTATTCCAGTGGCAGAAAAAAGCCACCAACCGCCCTGATGTCTAAGACTCTCCAACACTGATCCTAACTCACCTTTCTCATGAAGGACTTTAGAATCAATTATAATGTAGCTCTCTGTATCAGTTATCCAGAATCAGAGATCTGGTCTGCTTAAAGACCGCATTAACTGAGTGAATACCAAAAATTCACATTATTTTCACATATTCATTTCCCACAAATGGGAAATAAAACCAAACACTCCTGTGCAAAAGGGAGGTATGGGACTATGTGCTTTCTAAAATCTCTCTTCGTGCTAACATACTGTGAGTCTAAGAACTTTGGTCTTTTTCAATCTAATCTAAGAAGTACATTTTTCTGGTTAATAGATGTCAAAAGTCTGAGAAAAATTTTTCTTCACCCCATTCTATATTAGTCCTATTCATAATTAGCATACCACAATTTTTACTAATATACAACTATATAGCTGACTATAGCCATAACCCTTGAGAGGCCGCAGAAGAATAACTGAGATTTTAGGACACCTTGCATTAAACACCAAGACCTATTTCAAGAAAAAAAAATAGACTCATGAACTTACTAAATTTAGTTTATTGAGACAAAATCTCACATAGCCAAGGCTGGCCTCATATTTACTATGTATCTGGCCTTGAAATGATCCTCCTTCCTCAGCCTCCTAAGTAGTGGGACTACAAGCATATACCCATACCCAGGGAGAGTTAATAAAATTCACTAAAATTTAATAAGGAATCTTCCTTATTGACGTGTGTCTTGGGTTTTAAGTCAGTATCATGTCTCTCTGTCTCTCTCTCTCTCTCACACACACATACATTATGGTAAATTATTTAATGTAACAGAAAAACATGCCAGGCTATATGGGCCTCTCAGTCATTAAGCAAACTACTTTGAGTGGCAACCTAGCTTCATGCATGATGATTTTCCCTCATCCTGAGATACTCATAGACCCAGATACATTTGGTAGGTTTTGCTATTCCATACTCAAAATGCCAGTGTTGTACTTACTGAGCCTATGCCATCCATCAGTGTTAAGAGTGAGGCTACAACTCTCTTTTCCACTTCATTTTGAGCTCCTTCTCTTTTAGGGCAAAGTGCATCCAGCTCATCAATAAAAATAATTGATGGGTGCCTAAAAGCAAACATATTACATTTCAGTTTTATTTATCAATAAAAAACAAAATCACTAAAATGCTAAATCAAAAAAAAAATCTTAGATTAATTCTAGTGTAAAGTTATCAACCTCACACTCTAGCCTATCTGCCTTCCATAAAAGGCCTCTGTGTGACCCGGGGAAGGGTAAGAGTCAGTAAAAGAAAAAACTTAACTACACCAAAGAAAAAAGTTCCAAAGATTCACAGTGTAGTGGAAAGATACTTCAAAAGCATAAATAAAATGACAGGAGGTACACAGCTCCAGTCACCAGTCTCCCAGCCAAGGGAGGAAAAACAGAAGAACCACATGCCACTTCCACTATCAAAGGCGGACTGGTGAAAAGACACAGTAACAATCCTACACTCAGAATAAGGCCAGAGCTCTCACAAAGCCTCAAGGCAAGTTGTGGTTTTCAGCGAGATAGCATTTCTTCCAGCAGATGGCTCAGCAAAGAGAAATCCCATTTATGTATGGCACTTAGGGCAAAGGCTGGTAAGATCTTGAGAGAAAACCTATTATTTGAAACTGACCTAAATTGAGACAAAGCCCTAAAAGGCAGTTATGGAGAGCCTGAGGCCAAATACTGACAAGCTGAAGAAGCACGCTCTGGCAATGGAGTGCACAGAAAAAGACAGGCCCGCCCTCAGGGCCAAGAGTAGAACTTATAAACTTAGAATAACTCTGGCATGTGATACCATAGCCCTCAGTCTAAGTAGACCAACTCATGGCCCATAATAAAGCCTAGATAGCCCTTGGTTAGCACAACACAAGATGGAGAAAAACTGAAAGCATTTCCTCCAAAATCAGGAACAACACCCTCACCACTCCTTTTCAATACAGTATTCAGCCACAGGCACAGCAGTAGGGTAAGAAAAATAAAAGGAGCAGCTGGAACTAACTCAGTGGAAGTCTGTTTGCATCCATGAAGCCCTAGGATCAATCCTCAGGATTGTCAAAAAGGAAAGGAAAAATGCAAAGGAAAAAGAAAAGAGGTGCACACAGAAAGGAAAAAGTTCCAAGTATCCCTACTCCCAAATGACACGATCCTATATATAAGAACCTAGAAACTACAGCAGGATAAACTTAGACATGGTGAACAGGTTCAGCAAAGTAACAATACAAATTGACATGAAAATCAGTACTTTTCTACATAATGATAACAAACTTTCCCAAGAGAAAACAGGACAAATAATCCCAGTCACATCCATTCACAGTGACTTGAACAAAGGAAAACAATCTAGGAACAAATATAACCAAGTAGGTGAAAAGACTGCATGAAAACTTCAAGACACTGAAAAAGACAAAGAAGGCAAGAAAAGATGAAAGACCTCCCATGCTATGATTGACAGTTAATACCATTAAAATCATTACAAAAGTTACTAAAAGCAACCTATGGATTTAATGTACTCTCTATCAAATTCTAGTGACAGTCTTCACAGAACTAGAAAAAACATGCCAGAATTCATACAGAACAAACGACTCCAGAATGGCTAGATTTAAATGTCAACTTAATACAACCTAGAATCACCCTAGAATTTCAATAAAGAACTGTCTACACTGAGCTGGTCCATAGGTATGTCTCTGAGGGACTCTATCTTAAGTAAATTGATAGAGAAGACACCATTCCCTACACATCCTTAACCATTAAGAGAGGAAAAATCCAGCTGAGCACAAGCAAGTGAACGTTTATGCACTCATTTCTCTTTGCTCTTGACCATGGACGTGATGTGACCAGATGTGTTGAGATGCTGCCGCCTTGACTTTTCCACAATAACGGACTATAACCTAGAACTGTGAGCTGGGGAAACAAAACAAAACCTTGCTCCACTTAGTTGCTTTCTATCAGAGTATTTTATCACAGTAACAGAAATAAAGTAAGGACAGACCCCTTTGGCACAGTATCGCATCCAAAACTATAGCAAGCAGAAAAAGGAATGCTGGAGCTACCAGTTTCTGATCTCAAACTACTACAGAACCACAGTGAGAAAAACAGCATGGAGACTGCAGAGATGGCTCAGCAATGCAGAGCACTTGGTAACTCTTGCAGATGGAACTGGGTTTGATTCTCAGTACCCACATGGGGACTCACAACAGTCTGTAATTCTAGTTCCAAGGGATCAGACACCCTCTTCTGGCCTCCACAGGCACTGTATGCATGTGGTGCACAGACATACATTCAGGCAAAATGTCCATACACATAAAAATAAATAAATCTCAAAAAGCAAAACAAAACAACAAAAAACCTACACAGGACTGACACAAAGACTAATGGAATAAAGGACATAGCAACAGCCACCTAATTTTTAACAAGGGTATCTAAAACAGTCACTGTGGGGGGAAAGGCTCTTCAACAAATAATGCTGGAAAAAGTAAATATCCACATGTAGAATGAAGTAAATATCCACATGCAGAATGAAGATATTTCTCACACTAAACCAAAACACATGCAAAGGTTTCAAAAGTAATATTAGACCCGAGCCCTGAAACTGCTAGAGAAAAACACTTTAAAGATTCAAAACAGACACAGCCTTTCTGAAAAAGACAGACAAATACAGTCTATTCTCATGAGATGAATCTCCACCCAGCCTAAGTTTCCTACTAATGTCTTAATTCTTCTACTTTATGTCATTAAGTAACTTTTTAACAAACTTCCAAATGACTAGATAACATTTCCTTAAATCTCCCATCAACTCTAAGGCCATCACTTTGTGTTATTCCTTTGTTTTGCAGAAAGTGCCACTATTTTTCACTTAAATAGAGCCTCAATTATTAATTCCAAAGCATCAAATATTAATAATACCGTAGGGTGGCTTCAGCAAATATCTGGCGTAACCTTGCTTCAGTCTCACCATAGAATCTGTAATGAATAAAAAACATGTACTGTTTTACACTTCTTACTGTTTGTAAAACTTTTTTTATAAAAGGTGGTCTGAATTTTCAAGTATTTCTAAAATACTTAAAATTACTTTCAAAACTTATTTTCATATTTTGTACATATTATAAAGCAAATTTAGAAGGACATATATAATCTCAGAATTGTGGGGGGGTGAAGGTAAAAAGATTGACAGTCAAGGTCATGCTGGGCTACATAGGTAAGACCATGCATCAGAAAAAAAGGGAAAATTTAAAATAGTACAAAATAGTTTAGAGCATCAACTATCTAGGAAGAATATAACACAACCATTTAAGAAGTCACCACTGAGATATGTAAACTTAGTAATAATAAATATTTACTTATTAAGTAATATACCTACTTGCTTATAATTTCAGGACCATTAATTACAGAAACATAAGCTCCAACTTCATTAGCAACAGCCCTAGCAATCATTGTCTTCCCAGTGCCTGGAGGACCATAGAGTAACAACCCTCTAGGTGCTGGAATCCCTACAAGAAAAACAAACACAAAAACCAGTGCATTCAGTATGATTATTAATATTCTTGTTAAGTTGCCATACAACTTCTAACCTAAGCTAGAAATGGAAACTTAGTGAGAATCTACCTTTCCCCTACTTCCCAGAAAGATGTACTATCCATCCCAAATCCTGAATCCATCAATGACTTTATCTCTACAGATCACAAACCAAGGAAAGCATGAATATTTTTTTGGTGTTTTTAAAAAGAGCCCTTGTCTTGTGTCATCTAAGGAAGCACAGTTCATCAATCAGAACACACATTAATTTCTTCCAACTTGAACTCTTAAGGAATACAAAAATTACTAACAAATACATAAATTCATGAGTTCCTTTTACACACATAAAGATTCACAAGAAAGGGAAAAAGGGGGGTAATATACAAGAAACAGAAGCAAAGGATTTGGACAGCAACCATGCAGGAGTAGCTCTGAGTTTCCTGGGAGTTGAGTTATTTCCTTAACCACTCGCTTCAAGGCAGACGCACATTTCTTAACAAGTTTTAACTAAACCATGACCATCTTTGGTTTATTTCTTTAGACATTACAGCTTATCCAGCATTAACAAGTCCACCAACAGTGCATAATATGCTATAAGAGACAAACCTGCCACTCACATGAATCATAACTTAAAGGACCAAGCATTGAGAACAGTCATTTAATTATCATCTCCCAAAGCAACTGTAACACACGAGGCAGAAAATAAGGACAGGAGGGTGAGAAATTATATTAGAGAATGGTACTAAGTGCTTTTGAGTTTGAATCTAACATGAACACAGTAATCTAAAGGTAACATACCATAACTCTTGAAAAGTTCAGGCTGCTTGAGAGGCAGTTCAATTATTTCTCTTATTGCTTTCAGCTGACTGTTTAAGCCTCCAATCATGTCATAAGTTACTTTGAATTGGCTGTCTTGTTCTTTCGAATTTGTACAAATCTTTTTAAGGTTGATTCTTGTTGTCGAAGAAATAAAATAAAAAGTATCAGTATTCCTCTTTGCCCCTGCACTGGTAGACTTCAGTAGTTTCTCTTCATTGACAGGCTGTGTATTTCCTTCTCTGGATGAATCAAAACTACACTTAGGACCTGTGACTTCCTCTAGTCCAAGTCCACTGCCATCCCTGGGGCTCTGTGTAACATCTAACAAAACTTCACCAGCTTTATTCATAACTCTGTCTTTAACGGATTTACAGGGAGTACTCTGGGATGCTGGGCTCTGAGGCTCTTTCAGATCTAACTGGCTTAGCTGGAAGGATATATCCCCGTCACTGCTTTCCATGCTGGAGTGTTCAGACGCCAGGCCCTGGCTATCAGCAGCAGAGGCACTCTGAGGTTTTCCCAATGTTGTGCCATCTGTCCCTTTTACTTGCAACACTTGTAACTTGCAGAGTCGTCCATAGAATGTACAGTACAGGAAGTTGCCTGGTAAAACAATCTTGCCATCTAAAAAACAATTGATTAAATATACATCAGCATAATTTGCCCATTTAACAGTTTTAACAGCAACTTATTTGCTATTTATTAACAAAATTGGAACACTAATAAAGTAACTGTCACAAAAAATGGAGAGGGGCATATTCCCAATACAGTATCGGCTGTATAAAAAAAAAAGCTCATTCTTTTAAATCCTGTTTGTCAGTAAATCTAAAATTCTATAAATGATAGCATCAAAAGTCCATTTTTATCAACTAAACTTAAATGGCACACTCAAGCCAACACGGCAATGTTCCTCATTGGAAAATGTGCAAGCACAAAGGTTTAAAAATTAGCAATTAGTCATTCATGTGGTGTACATACATACATGCGGACAAACATTCATACATATCCAATCAAAACAAATTAAGGCCAGGCGGTGGTGGCGCACGCCTTTAATCCCAGCACTTGGGAGGCAGAGGCAGGCGGATCTCTGGGAGTTCGAGGCCAGCCTGGTCTCCAAAGCGAGTTCCAGGAAAGGCGCAAAGCTACACAGAGAAACCCTGTCTCGAAAAACCAAAAAAAAAAAAAAAAAAAAACACACAAAAAAAAAAACAAATTAAGTTCATCTTAAAAATAAGTCTCAATTCTAAGGCTGTGAGAATGGCTCAGGTAATACAGTGCTTGCTGAACAAACACAAAGACCTGAGCACAGATTCCTAGCACCCTTATGAAAACCCAGGTACACTGATGCACCCCTGGAATCTCAGCCCTGGGGAAGCAGACAAGAGGCTGCCTTCAGTGTGCTGATCAACTAGTCTAGCTGAACCCATGAACTGCAGGTTCAGACAAAGACTCTTTGTAAGTAAATGAAGAAAGTGGAGACTGAAGCACCCTGTGTCAACCTCTGGCCTCCAGGTACACTCATGCACACACATGCATGCACACAATCATGCACCTGTGTATAGAGTGGAGCAAGTCCCAAGTGACTGAAGTCTTGAGTCAATGTGTATTGTTGACATGCACAGAGCTATGAGAAAGACTCCAAAGCCTCAAAGCCATTATAAATTAACAAAGCCATTTACCATATGGGCCAGGCTCAAAAGGAGGATAGCAAAGCTTTCCAAGGGGTGCCGGAAACCAGCAACTGTAGCTTCCTCCTCCTCCCCCCAGATGTTTACAGCCTGAGACTGTCTACCTAAAGACAATTCTCCTGAGATTGCTAACCCCCCTCTTTGCTGTACCTAATAAAATGCTGAGGTTCCTGGTTGATGGTAGTAGTAACTGCCACTTCATTAGAGTGAGCACACCCCCATTTGACCCCAGCTTTTCTGTACATGTCTCTGTGTTTGTCTTTTCTTCATTCCCTCAGCGCTAGCTGGGGTGTCAGGACCCAAACCATTGGGGCACAACACATGCACACCCACAAACTGGGGGAAGAGGGACGGGCACGTGCACATGCATGCACACATGCACGCACACAGCTTTACTTCTACCACTAGCTTTGTCTTCAAATGGGTATTTAAAGAACGAGAATATTCTGGGCTGAAGAGATAACTTAGCCATTAAAGGCTAGGCTCACAAACAAAAATAAGAGAATATTCACTTAGCTATTAATAAAAATATGTCTACAAGCACTGTTTGTTGCTTCTTTGCTGTTTAAAATTGAAAACAATTTAAAATCTAGTCTTACCTAGTTTTCTCAGAATACACCCAGTCAGTTCTTCTTCATTAATTTCCTTATCTTTGTCACTACAGAGAGGAAAGAAAAACAAAAATCAGCATTAGGAACACTAAAAACTAAACCACAGAAAAAGTGCCATGCATAGTTATTATAGACCAGAAAGATAATTTGTTTTAAAACCTGAAAACAAATGATTTCCACAATTTTGGCAATTTACACTTTTCAGATACATATTTCCTGCAGAAAAATATCTTCAGTTTGATGCCAATGAGGTTTAAGGCAGTGATCTTCAAAATGTAAGGTATTATTCATTAGGAGACCATGAAACCATAAAAACCAATCCCATATAAAACGTCAGCGTACGCTGCATAGAAATGGTCAATCCTGCTTTGTAAAACATTTTCTCATACACATATACTTCATGTACACGTAGATAAATACACATACATGTGTATGTATAAATATCCATCTATCTACACACATGAACACACATACTGCACATGTTAAGTCATAATGAGAAGGGTATTTCTGTGCAATGTCAGTCAAACACATCTGAAAACACACTTGCCTAAACTAACCACTCCCGTTCTGAAGTTGCCTAGCATAGAGAAAGGCTTTTATTCATAGCTAACTTCATTCCTTTGTATAATTAGCTCTTCAGAAAAATCAAATCCCATACAGCACATTATCTGAAGAGGTGCAAGTAGGAAAAAAGAGTACTACTGCAATGGAAATTGATTCTGAGGGATATGCATTAAGAAAAAAACAGAGCTCATGTATTTGAACATTTTGTATCTGGTTGGTGGAACTATCACTGTCTCCACCAGAAAAGCAGTATACAGGAAATACAGGAAGTAGGTACATCTAATATCACTGCACCCACTTTTTTTTTTCATTTCGAATTTTTTTTCTTTATTAAGAAATTTTCTACTCACTCCACATACCATCCACAGATTCCCCCCTCCTCCCTCCCCCACACCCCCCCAGCCCTCTTTCCCGAGCCACCCCACATCCTCACATCCCCCCAATTGAGGTCTTCCATGGGGAGTCAGCAGAGCCCAGCACACTGAGCCTAGGCAGGTCCAAGCTCCTTCCCACTGCACAAAGGCTATGCAAGTCGTCACACTGCAGGCACCAGATTCTCAGAAGCCTGCCCCATAGACCAGGGACAGATCCTGATCCCCCTGCCTGAGTGCCCCCCAAACAGTTCAAGCCAAACAAACAACTGTTTTCTGTATCCAGAGGGATTAGTCCAGTCCCATGGGGGCTCCACAGCCACCAGTCCACAGTTCATGGGCTTCCACTAGTATGGCTGGTCATCTCTGCACATCCTCCCATCATGATCTTGACGTCCCTCGCCTACAGAATTCCTCCTCTCTCTCATCAATTGGATTCCCGGAGCTCAGCCTGGTGCCTGGCCGTCGATCTCTGCATCTGCCTCCATCAGTCACTGGACAAAAGCTTTATGATTTTAACAGCTAGGTTATTTGCTAGACCAGTCACCAGATTAGACCAGTCAAGGCACCCTCTGGACCACTGCCAGCAGATCAAGGTGGGGTCATCCTTGTGGATTCCTGAGAGCCTCCCCAGAACCCTGCCTCTTCCTATTCCTCATCTATCATGGTATCTTCCTCCCTACCCTCCCACTCTGTCCCTGTTCCAGTTCTACCCTCCCAATTCCGTGTTCTCAAACCCTACTCCTCGCCCTCTGCCAGCCCCCACACCCAGTCTGCTCATGTAGATCTCATCCACTTCTCCTTCACAGGGTCATCCATGTGTCCCTCTTAGGGTCTTTCCCTGTTAGCTAGCCTCTCTCAAGTTGTGGGTTGCAGTCTGGCCATCCCTTCCCTCACATCTAGTATCCACTTATGAGTAAGTACATACTATGTTTGTCCTTCTGAGTCTGGGTTACCTCACTCAAGGTATTTTCTAGTTCCATCCATTTGCTTGCAAATTTCATGATATTATTGTTTTTCACTGCTGAGTAGTAAGTACTCCATTGTGTATATGTGCCACATTTTCTTTATCCACTCTTCAGTTGAGGGGCATCTAGGTTGTTTCCAGGTTCTGGCTATCACAAATAATGCTGCTATGAACATAGCTGAGCATGTGTCCTTGTGGTAAGATTGAGCATTCCTTGGATATATGCCCAAGAGTGGTATAACTGGGTCTTGTGGAAGACTTAGTCCCAATTTTCTGAGAAACCGCCCTACTGATTTCCAGAGTGGCTGTACAAGTTTGCATTCGCACCAACAGTGGAGGAGTGTTCCCCTTGCTCCACATCCTCTCCGACATAAGCTGTCTTCAGTGTTTTTGATCTTAGCCATTCTGACAGGTGTAAGATGGTATCTCAGAGTTCTTTTGATTTGCATTTCCCTGATGACTAAGGATGTTGAGCAATTCCTTAAATGCCTTTCAGCCATTTGAGATTCTTCTGTTGAGAATTCTCTGTTAAGCTCTGTAGCCCATTTTTTAATTGGATTGTTCAGTATTTTGAAGTCTAGCTTTTTGAGTTCTTTATATATTTTGGAGATCAGCCCTCTGTCAGATGTGAGGTTGGTGAAGATCTTTTCCCATTCTGTAGGCTGTCGTTTTGTCTTATTGACCATGTCCTTTGCTCTACAAAAGCTTCTCAGTTTCAGGAGGTCCCATTTATTAATTGTTGCTCTCGGTGTCTGTGCTACTGGTGTTATATTTAGGAAGTGGTCTCCTGTGCCAATGCGTTCCAGACTACTTCCTACTTTCTCTTCTATCAAGTTCAGTGTAACTGGATTTATGTTGAAGTCTTTGATCCACTTGGACTTGAGTTTTATGCATGGCGACAGATATGGATCTATTTGCAATCTTCTGCATGTTGACATCCAGTTATGCCGGCACCATTTGTTGAAGATGTTTTCTTTTTTCCATGTGCACCTACTTTTAAAAGCCTGCTCTTAAACAGTTTCCAAAGGGCTAGAGAGATGATTGAGAAGGTGTTTGCTACCCAAACAAGAAGATTCTACTCTGGATCTTCAGCAGTTACATAAATGCCAGTTGGGCTTGTAACCTCAACACTACAAATGAGGATGTAACAGATGAAGGCCCGGAACTTGCTACTCAGCAAGTTTAGTCAAAATGGCACACTCCAGATTCAGTGAGAGAGAAATAAATAGACAGATAGACACAGACAGACAAAAATAAAGTAAGATATCTTGAGATCAACCTCTGGCATTCACACTTGTACACAAGTGAGCACACCCCCATCCCCACATACATTTGTATATACACGCACACACATCCACAAAAGAAAACATTTGAAATAGTTAAGTAAATAGTCTTCAAACACTCTCCTCTTCTTCCATGTGTCAGCAGCAATGTGTAAACAGAAGAAGCCACAATTGTCTAGCTGTCGGTAACCCACACAACAGAGGTAGTTTTGCACCAGATGACATTTATTAGTAAGCTCATTTAATCAAAATATAAACTGTATCAATATGGCAAAAACTCCTGTGAATGCTTTTACAAATTCATTTCACTAAAAAATTATTTTTAACATCCAGAATCCACAGAGTAATTGTGGTTGTTATGGATGTACCACAGCCCCTCACCCTCTAAAGTTTGGGTCAGTATATAGTCCAGTAACTATATTGTCAATTGAGGAAGACTAAAATGATAACTCTGTCTTTTGTCTCAGCTCTGACTCAGAGGTAAAGCAGGACAGATGTGGTACAGTACAAACTTTAGCTCTGGGGCCAGATGGAGGGGATTTGAACCCAACTCCACAAGGAGACAGTCTCAGGCAAATTTCTTAACATGTCTGGTGTTCTTGTTCCTTGATGCAGCATAAGCAGACTCTTACCAGAACTAGTTTCTTCAAGTATTCAAAATCAGTCTAGGTAAGAGATGCATAGCTGTATAAATTCCTCACTAAGAACAATGGTTCTGTTTTCTCTGTCAGTGTGACAGCAACCTCAAGAAAACATAACTACCACAAATAAACAATGAGAATCAACTACACACTTAATTTAACTTAAATTGAATTCCATTTGTAAAACATGGAATCAAGTTATAATTACATTATTTTTAAGATTTGTTTTTCTGTATATGTGTATTTTGCCTGTATGTACGTAGAGACACAATCTAAGTGACTGATGCTAGTGGAGACCAGAAGGAAAAACAGTGATTGTGAGCCACCATGTGGGTGCTGAGAACAGAATCCAAGTCATCTTACAAGAGCAGCAAATACTCTTACCCTCTGAGCAGTCCCTCTGGCCCTTATTTAAATTGGCCTTATTAATTGAATAAGAGACAGTTACAAATTTGAAGAACAGGTATAGATTTCCACTAGAAAGAACTCCAATATCACTAATGAAATTCTCCAGTTACCATGATTTAAATGACTTATTTTCCTAACTGGAAATGAACTTCCTTGTTTACACTCTGCTGCCCTACTTAAAATGCAACTTTTTTTTTAAAGAAATTAAAATTTAAAAACCAAGATTTCATTTAAATCCACTGTCTTTTCTAATCATTCAACACCACTCAGCCCCAATAAGATGAGACTAGTTCATAGATAATGCTAATTCCAGCCAACAATGACTACTACTTCCTGTATCACTGTTTTAACACATTCTGATGATAACCTGCTTTAATAGCAACAGTGCTGCCAACTTTCCCACACTGAGACCATTTCATTTGCTAAAAAGGGGTAAATAAACCAGTCACACACTTATGAGCCCAGCAATTGAGAGTAAAACAGGAGGATCATGAGATGGAGGCCAGCCTGGGCTACCTAGTGAGATCCTGAATCAGGGAGGGGATGGTGCACAGAAGATGGGAATAGATACCTTGAAAGGTATGAAAGGATATAAAAATCAAAAGGATAGATGCACGTTTGTTCATTCTTACAAATGTGTCCATGTGATGTGGTCTGAGCTACCTTTTTACTGTGGTAATAAAGCATCAAGACCAAGACAACTTTATAAAAAAAAAAGCATTTAATTTGGGGGTTCCATGACCATCATGATGAGGAGCACAGCAGCAGGCATGGCAGCCACCGTGCTGGAAAAGTGTCTGAGAGCTCACACTGATTCATAAGCACAAGGCAGAGAGCGAGCTAGCTGGGAATGGTGTGGCTCTTGAAACCTCAAAGCCCACCACCATGACACACTTCCTCCAACAAGGCTGCACCTTCTAATCCTTCCTAAACAGTTCTACCAACTGGGGACCAAGCATTCAAATATATGAGACTATGGGGGCTGCTCTCATTCAAACCACCACACATGTATAAGCATCTAATATATGAAACTGATTCTCAACATTATATTCTTTGATTTTGTTTTGTTTTGTTTTTCAATGTTCATTAAATGGTTACTGTTTGTTCTGAAAACCGTTTCCTGTTTTCAAAGGGGGTAGAGGGATGATGCTAAAACACAAGCTTGGAATATAAACAAAAGAAAACATTTTAAACTCAAGATGACAACTAGAAAATTTTTTTGAATTCTTATACACGCACTCCACAAATTATCACTAAGGTGGTATTAAATTATCAAAAGGTACTTTTATCAAAGCAAATTTGGGTCCGACTTTTATCAGCAATCAATCTAACTCAAAATTCTATTGGAGGATGGGTGAGACACTATACTCACCCTTCAGTAAGAGCTATTTAAAATTCTTGGTAATAACAGGTCTTTGTTTTTACTAGGCTGAATGTGATTTAAACATGCAATCAAGTTCTTTTCTTGAATTATCATTAATTGAAAATTATTTCTTGAGCTACGTGCAGTGGCACAACCTAAAGTACTCAAAAGGAGGAGGCAGGAGCAAGTCAGCCTTGGGCTACAAACAGTAAAACTGCTTCAAAACACAAGATAAGAACACCCAGAGATGGCTTGGTGGTTAAGAGGACTTGCTACTCTTCTAGAGGACCTGGTTTCAGTTCCCAGTACCCACAGGGCATCTCAGAACCATCTGCAATTCCAGTTTCAAGGAACCCTATTCTTTCTTCTGGCCTCAGCAGGCTCCAAGCACAGGCATACACATGATGCACAAACATACACACAGCAAATTCTCATACATGTTAAAAATAAAATTAAAAACATTCTATTTGTAGATAATTAACAAAGAGACCCACAACAAGCCAAGGTGCAGAAAACACGAGACTGCAGAATGTTCAGCCATAAAATGGGACACATATACCGAGTCCTCTCCTCCAAAGACTCAGAGATCATTGTGGGAGAGGGGGCAGAAAGAGTGTAAGAGCCAAAGAGAGGGGAGACAAGGGAACAGTGTCTTCTGCATGTGAACTAACTGCCACTGTGACAGCATGCACAAGATCTGTACAAGAACAAGCCAGACCAAATCCCAGCAGAGAGAAGAGAGTTGGGCACAAAACCCTGCCCCTAGACCCTGCTAGCTGCTAGGAGGGGAAGAGTCAATTTTATCTAAGAGTGTAGACCCTGGTTAATCAATCTTGCTCCAGTAGAAGGCTACACATCCAAGGACATGTGGGCAGCACAAATTAGTCTTGATAGGTTTACAAAAAGAATATAAAGTTAGGTAGATAGGGAAAGAGGCTTAGGTCTGAGAAGAGTTGGTAGAGGGGAGGTAAATATGGCTGAGACATACTGTATTTAATTCTCAAATAATTAACAACAAAAAAAATTTTTCAAAGTTATCAAACTGCTAAGACAGTTTAGAAAATGCTGATACCAAAAATGAAAAATGATCTGTACTAGTTTTTCAATGGAAAGTACTACTCTAAGATTTCTCTGACTTATATACGAATATTGAGTCTAAAGACATCCAGACTATTTTTTTCTGTCAGCCACTGACTCTTATTTCAACATTTTACTAAGCCTTTAACATCAGACTATGACTCAATGTGGACACAGTTCTTTATCTTGCTGAAATATTTCTGGGGATTATTTCTCATTAAGAAATTAATTTTTATACATTTTTAATTATAAAGTGCTGACATGTTCATACTGGAATATTCTTCAGTGGCAAAGAGAAAAAAACTGTATTTCTTAGCTACTCACAAGCTGTAAGTGCCCTGAATTAACTGCAAGTTAAGATGAAATACACTGCTAAGTATTCATCAGTTATGATCCCTTCACTTCAAATGTAGGGCTACTTAACTTCAGGGTACCAGAGTCCCTTGTACATAGAGTCATCCATTTAGCTTACGCTATTATATATAGCGGATCACTACTCATTTTAACATATGTAGTTATCGTGGCTAGAAATGGGAGTACCAGTAGGTGCAAAACCCTGGTTTCTCTCTCTTTTTTTTTTTTAAAAGATTTTATTTATTAAGTATACAGTATTCTGCCTGCATGTATGCCTGCAGGCCAGAAGAGGGCACCAGGTCTCATTACAGATGGTAGTGAGCCACCATGTGGTTGCTGGGAATTGAACTTGGGACCTCTGAAAGAGCAGCCAATACTCTTAACCTCTGAGCCAGCTCTCCAGCCCAAAACCCTGGTTTCTATCCCAAACACAAAGGAGAAATTTTCCAGTATCTATAGGCTATGGTAGATGGATCGTAAGTTCAAGGCCAATCTGGACTACATAGTAAGATCTTATCTCAAACAGACAAATGTGCTACAAGTATAACATATACTGTTAGATTTTAAAGATTTGATCTAGAAAAAAAGCTGAGGGGGGGATAAAACACCTCACTAGTAACTTTTTATAATTATGTATTCAAATAGTATTACATATAATGGGTTAAATAAAATTTGTAAGAATCCATTTCTCCATCTGTTTAGAAAACACAAACTGAACATGTTTATACCTCTCTTTTTATTTTAAAAGATCTATTTATGTTTTGCTAGCATGTATGTCTGTGTACCACATTTGTGCCTAATGTTCACCAAGGTCAAAAGAGGGCTTTGGATTCAATGGAACTAGAATAATGGATGGTTGTGATCCCATCACGTGGGTGCTGGAAACCAAAGCTGGGTTGGGTCTCTGCAAGAACACAGACTCTTGACCACTGAACCATCTCTCCAGCCCCCTCACTACATTTCCTTTGGGCAGCTTTGAGCTAGACAGTCACTAAAGAAAAGAGCCAAACCTCAGTGCCAAGTCCATTTCCTGAGCCTGAAGCACAGCTCCCAAGAGAGGCTGGACCTGGATGGTATCACCAGCTCTCACACCCACATTCTTCTGTGCCATTTCACTCAGGCCAACCTTGCCTCCAGGAAATCCTGCAACTGGCCAGGCTGTATAAACCTACTCAGAGAAATAAAATAACAATATCAGAAAATCAGTACATATAATACCATCAATTTATAAAGAAGAGAATGTTAAGCATATCTAATACACAAAACACAATCATTATTACCAAACAATATCTGACACAATCTGTAGTGGGATAAACTGCAGTTTTAAAAAAAAAATTAAATCCTAGAAGTTCACAAATTACTTTTAATGAATATTACAACTTCTGTGAAGATCAGGAAAGCGCTCATAGTGAGATGATGAAAGGCAGATTAAAAAAAAAAGACAAAAACATTAATAGATGGTAAGTAAGGAGAAAAATATTAAAAGCAAGATAACTTGTAGTGAATGCAGCCTCATACTTCCTATCCATGATACACTGCAAAACAGTGTAAGAGTCTCTTTAATACCTGGATTTTAGGGCTGGAGAGATGGCTCAGTCTGTAAGGTGCTTTCTCTGCAAGCATGAGGACCTGGGTTCAACCTCCAGAACCCATGAAAAAAAGCCAGGTGTGATGGCTCACACATGTAATCTCAGTGCTGAGGAGGCAGAGATAGCTGGTTTCTGGGGCACACAAGCCAAAGAACATAGACTAATCTATGAGTTCCAGGCCAAATGACAGACCCCGTCTCAAAAAGTGAGGTGGGAGAGAGGACCGAAGAAACATGTGAGGTCTCTACATGCATATGAACACATGTACACACATCCCCATAAAAGAACACAAAAACATCCTCCATGGATGAAAATGAGGGGGGGCACTATGTCACAGGCAGGAACTGGCAACAAGGAGAGAGCCAAGCTGCTAAAAATCTAGGAAAAGCTCTCATCTTGGAGTCTTCAAATCCCACAACATCAGGGAGAAATGCAGCCAAACCCAGTGAAAATGAGTATTTGTATGAAGGGCAGGTGCTCATCCTACCTCAAGATCACATTTCTGCACAGAAATGTTTTTAGTAACTGACTAGAAGAACAAAGCTTAAAGGGACATAAGCCACTACCTCCCTGTTTAAAAAAAAAAAAAAAAAAAAAGCAATGGCCCTTTCTCTCTGGAATTTCAGCGACTACTATGTACACAACAGTCTTATTTTTCTGAAGATTTATTACTTTAATTATGTATATGTGCATATGTGTGGTGTTAGGGTATGTGCACGTGTTGGTGTCCACAGAAGCCAGAGGCATCAGGTTCCCCTGGAGCTAGAGTTATAGGCAACTGTGAGCTGCCCGACCGAACTCAGATCCTTTGGAAGAACAGTGCACATTCTTAACTGCTGAGCCATGTCTCTAGTACCCATACGACTGTCTTTAAAAGCACTTTTTTTTTTGGAGTCGGCAAGATGGTTCAACAGGTGAAGATACTTGCCACCAAGACTGTCGACCTGAGTTTGACTCCTGAAATGGACATCATGGAAGGAAAGAACCAACTTCTGATTCACACACACTAACTGTTCACCAACTTGTATTCAAAGTTAAAACCAGAATGACTTCCAATGCTTCTAGTAAAAGGATAAGGAATTTTACCTCCTGCTTTCCATCCAAACTGGTAAGGAGCACTGGTCGGCCTATACAAATGTTTGCAGACTTCATAGTATTAAGTCCAAGATGAACAAGGGAATTCTGGAATGTCTTAGGAACTTTGCCATCTACTATAAAAGGAGAGAGAATTTATTTTACACTATTCTAAAACAGAAATTCAGGCACTTTTAGGGTAAATGAAAATCCTATATTCATGTAACCATACCAACGAATTTATCATATCCTGAAGAAACCTTTTTTAAACTAACATAAAACCAAACCTTTTGGAATGTTTACTGACAATGTGTGAGTATAACCTACAAAGTTTAAAGTAAAGAGAAGAGATCTCTTGGTTTATTAAGAACATAGTGTGGCTGGGATATATTAGCTCAGAGTAAAGCGAGCATACTTCCCTAGCATGGCCAAGGCCTTGGGTTCTGTCCTCAGCACTGTCAAAAACAAACACAATTACAAAATCTAACTACACTTCCAACAGTCTCTGCACTTTCTGCTGAAAGATTCTGAGTCAGCTACTAGTTTCAAAGACAACTGGAACATTTATCTGGCTCTAGAGGCTTGTTTCCACTTCGGAACCACATAATCCAGGATTTCAAAACCTTCCCTAAAAAACCTCCCTGTTAATGGAGATCAGGTACAAATTTTCATCCAAGTCCTTGTTTCTCAATATACCACCATTATACAGTTCTCTGCTTATAACATCCAAATTTCCACAGGCTGTCCACAGAATTCTACCAGTCCTCATTTCTCTACATTTAGTGTGTGTGCATGCATGTATAGAGAATTCATTCTTTCCTTTATACCATGCAAGTTCCAAGGATGAGACTCATACTCACAGCAGCAGGCACTTAGAGCAGCTAGTCACATTACATTCACATCAAACGGAAGCAATGAATGCATACAAGAACTTACTGTTCTCTACTCTGACTGTGGATGTAATGTGGCTAGTTCTCTTAAGGGCATGCCACTGTGACTCCCTACGACGATGAACTAGAACCTGAAACTGTGAGCCATAATAAATCCCTTTCTCGGGGAATTTTCTCACAGCAATGGAAAGGAAACTAAGACAGCTCCCCATGCATCACAGGTATGCATCACTACACTGTAACTCTGAGTTATGTGCCTTACTCCATCAGGAAGAAGCTTGATAGCTTTTGGCTACTCTGGACCAGTGAGCTCTCAGGAGACACCTGTCTTTAGCTCCCAAAGTTACAAGACACACCCAACCATACTGGGCATATAAAATCGGTGCTGGGGGTTCAAACTCAGGTCCTCATGCCTGCAAAACAAATGCTCTTACCCACTGAACAATCTTTCCTGCCTCCATACCCAGCTTTTTACATGGGTGCTTGATATGTGAACCCTGAACCTTACGTCTGTGCCACAAGACCTTCATCCAAAGTCATTTCACCAGTCCATAAAGTCAATTTCAAACAACCATCCACCCTTGCTCCATCGCTTCATGGAGTTTATAATCCAGGACGAGTTAGCCAACAAGTACTCAATAACTGTATAGTTACAAACTAAGACTATACAACAACAAAATGACTGAGAGACCTAGCAACACCTATTCTGTGTAATCTAACCTAATTTGGAAAAATTACAGAATGCTACTCAAAGAAAGTGCTGCTAAAATTCAGGTGTGGAGGAAGAGAAAGAAGTAACTAAATATGAAGAAGAGATATTTTTCTTAACAGAAAAAGCATGCACAGATGTTGTGGATAGATAGGAGTATGATGCATCCTTCAGAGACTTTTTTAAAAGAGGGATGAGAGACAAAGAGAGTTGCTTAAGGAAGCAAAAACCATGAAGCGCAGTGTACTGCATCAAGATTCCAGTCATAACTCTGAAAGCAATGGAAGAAGCCTATGGGGAAGAACAGTAGTATCACCATAGGATCTTCATGTTAAAAGATCATTCTGACCATAAAGTAGAAAAGAGTAAGAGAACAAAATTGCAAGCAGGGAAATCAAACAAAGACCACTGTAGCAGTTCAGGTGAGAGGTGATGGGGTCTGCATTTGAAATGGAAGCAGTGGGAATGCTGTGAGAAGGAAGACAGAAACTATCTGGATAATAAACAAGATTTGGTAATGGTGCCAACATAGATGTGACAATGAGCCATTATGCCTAACCCCTAGATTTCTGATTTGTTTGTTTTTTGAGACAAGAGTCTCAAAAGAGACAAGTTTCCCTGTGTAGCCCTAGCTGTCCTGGAACTCACTCTGTAGACCAGGCTGGCCTCAAACTCAGAGATTCTCCTGTCTCTGCCTCCTGAGTGCTGGGATTAGAGGCGTGCGCCACCACCGCCCAGCAGTTTCTGAATTTCTTAAGAACTAAGGTTTGTATTACTGAAAGAAGTAGACTCAGGAAGTTGATTCTACAGTGACTTTGAAAAATTAAAGGGAAGAGGTAATGGACAATACTATTCAAGATATAGTCTACAAACTACTTGTTACAAGTTCATAATAAGTTTAAGTACCAAAAAAGAAAAAAAATCACTTGGAAACTTTTACTGCAAGCAGATAAAATTTTGTGTCTATGAACCCAGTATTTTGGTTTTTAAATTTATTTTTCTAATTGTACTGACTATTTTACAAAACTGTCTATATGTGGCCCCTTGGCCATTTTTTGTTTGTTTGTTTATTTGTTTTTTCAGACAGGGTTTCTCTGTGTGGCTTTGGAGCCTATCCTGGAACTCACTCTGTAGACCAGGCTGGCCTCCAACTCAGAGATCCGCCTGCCTCTGCCTCCAGAGTGCTGGGATTAAAGGCGTGCATTACCACGCCGGCCCGCTTGGCCATTTTTAACCTTGCCACAGGAAGTGTTTGAGAAATTCTGATATAACACACTGAATCAAGACTTAGAAACAGTATGTTTTACAAAAAAAAATAATCAAAATTGAAGATGATATAAATGAAAAACTTAGCTTTGGATATTCTTGCCATAAATTATATTTAGGGAAAAATAAGAGGATATCAGACTAAGAATTAAGAAACTTCAATATTTCAGAATCTGATGGAAGTGGGTAAACCTGCAAAGAAAATGGTTACCAATGCACGTGTTGAAAAATCATCAAAGTCTAATGATAAAGTAGTGACATGCTTAAGAAAAGATCAACAAATGCCAAAGGCTATGGGCATCAAAAGGCAAGTAGTGAAAACCATCGACTGGATTTGCCAATAGAGATGAGCTGTGACCACTACAAAGCAGTTGTCTCCCAAGAGACGATGGCATGCAAGTCAAATAGGACTGGGGTATATGATTGTCAAATAGGCAGCGAACACTCCATTTAATGAGTAGGCAATGAAAAGGTTTAGAGAGGGTGGTGGCAGCAAGAAATGGTGAAACTTTTGCAGTGTTTTGAGATAGAAGAAAAATGAATATATGTAAATGGCAGTGAGAAGGATCTACTTGAAAAGAGGTTGAATCTGCAGAACAGAACAGGCTGTATTTTGATTTCTAAGTCAGAATAAAAACGCTAACGCTAAAATTGTCTTTAAAGTCTTATTGGACATAAAAGCCAGTTAGTCAAAACAATTACACATCAAGCATGCTAAAAGACTTACCAAGTAAATGACTTTTCAGATGTTAAGTCTGTCACCCAAGCCAATAAAACTCATCTAAGACAACGGCTCTGGAATCGAATAGACTGAACTCAAACATGGATTCTGCCACCTGGTAGCTGTGTAACTCAGATGGCACTCCGTGAGCTTCCTCTACTCTGTAAAACGGGCATCATTACGTACTCGTCTATCACCACTTGTAGGAAAACTAGATGAGCTATGCATGTGACAAAGCTAACTGACTATTAGCACTAGTGTGCAATTAACCAATAGCCGCAACTAAATCTCTGAACCTCTGTGGTCAATGAAAACGCCTTCCTTCCTAAAGCCACAACGCTGTCTGTCAGGCAGCACGGATTCACCATCAAAAATCGATATTTGGCTTTTTAGCGCAAGCTATGCCTGCTGGGCATAGCTAAAGAGTACATCTTCAAAGAGCCAAGGCCATCTCCAGTGCGGCCATAACTCAGTTGGTCGTCTTGCTTGGCATACGCAGGGCCCAGGGACTCAATCTCCAACACTGCCAGAGTAAGTAAAGAAAGAATAAACAGTAAAAGGGAAACTCGGAACATCTTGCAAAGAGGGTCGGAGCCGCCGGCGCGCCTCGGTCCGCGGGCTCCCGTGTCACGCCCACCTCCACACGCCGCACCCCCTCAGGCGCCTCAGCCTCGGCGCTGCCCGCGCTTTCCTCACCTTTCTCGAGGAAGTTGGTGACCACCAGCATCCCCGGCGCCGCCACGGCCGGCCGGGCGAGAGGAGCCGGGGTCCCCGAGCGAGACGAAGCGGCAGACAGCGAGGGCGACGTGCCCTCCGCGCCCTCTTTCTGCCGCTTTCTGTTCTTCTTGGAAGACATGACTGCAGGCTATGGGAAAAAGGCAGACCCAAAGCCGGCTCAACGTGCGCGGCTCGGGGAGAAAACTTCCGGGTCACAGGTCAGCGGCTCGGTGCGCGCGCCGTAATGCTCCACGTAGAGCGCAGCCCGAGAGTCCGCGTCGGTTAGCGAGGGTCTCTCAGGACGCTTTTGTTAAAGAAGTCTGGGCGTGGCCTAGGAACCTCCGTTTACGTTATGAACTCCTGAAAAGTGAACTTCGGTTGCTCCGCCGCTTTGCCTAGACCCGAAGCAAGTGTCGGTTCACTTAAAGTAAAAAAAGCAAATCGAAAGTTTCTCCCCTCCGGCCAGAGCCACCAAAGACAGTCCACGGTCAACTCCACCGAGCTCTCGGCCAAACGGGAAGCCCACCTCAACCTTAGCGGCCGGTGAGACTTTCCGAGAGTTTACGGTCAGCCCTCCTCCGGGCGAGAAGGGGCGGAGCGAGCGCCGGAAGACGCCGTGAGAGTGTACGCGGCGAGGCGGGGCGATCGCCGGAAGATTGTTCGCGGCGTGACGGGGCGGGGCGATCGCCGGAAGGAGAAGCGAGGCTGTGTCAACGACAAGGGCGGGGAGGGAAGGGGCGGGGCGTGCTCCCGAAGCTGAGACGCGGCAGTGCCTTGGGACGTGGGCGGGGCGAGGCGAGACGGGCGGGGCGGGGCGAGGCGAACAGGCTCCTCCCGAGCGTCGGAAAGGCTAGGTGCAGCAATGAGGTGGCTGAAGAGTGTCCGCTGTTGGCCATCCGCACTGCTCCTTGCAGGCAGAGTCGGGCTCTGGGCAGGGCCGCGCACAGCCGCGGGCAGCCCGCGAGACGCCGGCGAGCTGCAAGGCGAGCTGCAAGGCGAGCTGGACAGATTTGGGGGCGTCTCGGTGCATCTGGCGCGGCACCGCGCGCTGCACGGGCTGGACGCTGCTGCTTTCCGGAGGCTGTTGCAGGGCAAGTGCGGGTCTCGGGCCCCGGAAACCAGGGCGGAGCATGCGAGGTGATAGCTGAAAGGACACCCAGCGGCCCTCGAGCTTTGACCTGGAAGTTCCCTCAGCCATGTCTGGGTCTAAAGCTTAGATACTCGCCCTTGCGATTGCCCCGGGTTCGCAGCGCCGAGCACGGTGTCGGCCACACGTTGAACTCTTAGTAAACGCTGATAACCTCACTGTTTGCTGCCTTGCCCCCTTAGTTTTGCTGGCACTTAGTTTCTGCCACAGTGTTTGCTAGGCAAAACTGTCTCTTAATGGGGGCAGATAGGAGCTGGCAGGTCAAGAACCGGTGCTTGTTTCTACCCACAGAGCTTTGTAGTTTTCAGTAGGAGTAACACATCACTGGCTTTGAACATTGAGCCTAATTATCTGAAAGGGAGCTTGAGTGAAGGAGCCCTAACTCTGGGATACGTGTCTGGTTTAGTAGAGCGGTCTGTTTTTCAAACTGAAGACATAGCATGGAAATTTAGCTATGGATTCTTTCACATAACCAGGAAACCACAAATGATCTTTATCCTGTGAGCAACATGGCAAGTAAGCGTCTCTAATGCCGTTTAATCTTCATCTTCAAACCAATGTACTTCACATCTCTCCTGTTTGTAAGTGCTGAAAAGCCCCACCTAGACTCCATCAATATTGCCAATAGGAGAATCGAATCCATTCATCCTCTGTTAGGTATGCACATTTGGATGGGTACGGGTGTTTGGTGTACCAGTGACCAATGATAATCTAAGCACCACTCCAGAAAGTATGCTTTATTTGGAAACGTGTCCAGAGTTCAAGTCCCAGATCGTGCCACAAGCTTTGCCAGGCATTAATCGAATGACCACTGAATAGGTGAGTAACGCTAGCCAGCTCTAGTTACTGGATAAGTATGATCAAAGACACCCTAAATGAAATCCCTCAGCTATGAAGTACAATTTTTTTTTACATATCTTTAATTAAACATTTCACTGTAATTTTTGTTTTAAGAATCTAACAAATATAAATTCATTTCATTTTCATAACCTGAAGGTACCCACAGAGGCAGTGGGTACCTTCCCCTGGCTCTGGGTCTGTACTTTCTTCACACTGCTCTATGAGCTGCTTCTAGCTCTGTGGTGATGGAATCAAACAAAACTAATGGACAGTCCCTGTAAAGAGGCACTAGTCAGGGAAGAAAGCCTCATAGGATGTCAGTGTCTTCAAGATTAAACATTGCAATGTTTAATTTTTTAATGTTAATTATGTTAACAGTTGCATTGTTAACATAAAACATTGCATTAGTAATGACTGCTAAGGCAGGTTTGCACATGCGGGCCACTATTCCTTTACTGCTGCTTTGTTACTGACAACCCAAATGTCAGGATTATAGTGTACCTAGCCCTCCATAGACTATTTCTTGGCAGAGGGGATTTGAGGCAGGTGAATGTTACAGATAGCTCAAGCTGATTCACACTCAAGACCCTCCAACCTCTGCTTCCAGAGCACTAGGATTACAGAAGTAATTACCATGCCTGGTATCACATTTGCAATGGTGGTGAAATAGCCTGCTTCTAGGGAGAGGATTACAAATTCATGACATTTTAACTAGAAATAGGAAACTAGTTAGTAGGTTAGGTGATGTGTGATACATTCTAGTGAGTCACGCAGACAGCATGTGTTACTAAGGTCACACAATAATAGCACCTGCACTACTATGGTTAAGAAACACTTTGTTGAAGAGGTCATATAGGAGCTGGGCTTCCAGGAACTGGTACAAGATGTGTAGATGGGGGAAGGGACCACGTTTCTTAGAGGGGGAGAAAAGAGGAAGAAATTCTTAATAGAGTTGGGTCTAAGATTTCAAATTCTATTTTGAGGAGTGAACATGAACAGGCCTGTGGATGAAGCTACTATGGGCACTGGATTCAGTTTTGAGATGGTTTGAAGTAACAACTGCAGGGAAAAGTTAAGAGTTCAGTGAGGTCAGAACTGGACAACCTCATGCTTTAGCTGAAGCGGAAGTAACGTGAATGGTCCAAGGTAAAGAGTTGAAAGGGAAAATCAAATACCATTGTTTTAGAAAGCAGCATTTCATTTGATTGGAAGGATTGTCTGGGAAGGAGCGCAGGAGACCTACTGCATGATAGAAATGTTCTGGAGTCTTAATGGAGGCATTGCTTAGGGGTGTCTACATAGGTCAGAATGCTTCAGCTGCACACTTAGGATTTGTGCATCTTGCTTTCTGTCATTATAACTCAATTAAAAATGATTCAGTTAGGGAAAGTGAGGTAGGAAAAATCTGATCCTATAGCCACAGTGCATGCTGGATCAACAACTTATAACTGTGCTAAGCAAATTGATCTCCAAAGATGGGGAGCCCATGGTCCTTAGCAGGTAGGAGCTTACATAAGCAAGACTAAGGGAGAGAAGAGGAAGTCAGGTGACCAGGAAATGGATGAAGACATCCTTGGGCACCTGGGGAGAGAGGGTGGGATGCAGGGTGGGGGTGATCAGTGGTTGAGAGGTTTTGAAGTCTCAGCTGTGACATGGCATTTCCCCACCCACAAATTAAAGCTTACCTGTCTTTCATGGTGTGAACTCTTGGATAATGTTAAGCATTTGAAACACCTAAGGTTCAAATAAGTAAGCACACCCCCCTGCCCCGGCTCAATCCCACAGAAAAATAAAATGTAAAGAATTCTAAAATAAAAAAACAATCTTTATTTTCAGAATGGTGTTTGTAATAAATTTGTAAATACTATGAATGTCTAGAGTAGAATTTGGCTGGGTAGTTTGTAAGATACATGAGGGAAGCTGCTACTATTGAGAAATCTACTTTCATTGAAGGAATTATAATAATAGACTGTTTAATATGTAATGTATTATAAAAGGCATAATATAAGCTGTAGTCATTATGTTAATGACAAAATCACAAGAAAAAAGAGAAACTAAAAATTTCTTCAGGCTGGTAATAATAGAGAATTCTGGCTTATTCTTTAACCACTTTGCAATTTGTAAACCAAAAATAACATCAGAACTCTCGCAGGAAGAGTTAAAATTGAATGTTGAATGTTAAAATTAAGGGCATTAAAAGGAACAGAATGGACTGGGGATGTGGCTCGGTAGTGGAGTGCCCGACCGCATATAACAAGCCCCTAGCTTTGATCCCCAGCACTGGAAAGAAGAAAGTACTAAACCCGAATTTGTTTCAAGTCGGTTCCTTTGTCCATTCTCCAGTGACTGAGCACCTGTTGTGTGCTGGACCTGTATGTAGGAGGCATGGTTATAAACACCAGCACGGTGATGGGCTATAGTAATGCCCAGACAGCGACTGCTCGTGCCACAGAAAAGCCTTACACGTTGTTATCTTCCTCCCCTGCATTCTAGCTGCCGTACAACAGTGGCAGTCAGAAGGAAGGGTAGCTGCATGGCTGCACGTCCCCATCCTGCAAAGCCACTTCATCGCCTCTGCTGCTTCCCTGGGCTTCCGCTTCCACCACGCAGACTCCCACTCCTCCACGCTGACGCTGTGGCTGGGAGAAGGACCCAGCAGACTGCCAGGATATGCTACGCACCAAGTGGGGGTTGCAGGTCAGTTTCAGATCAGAAATACCTTTTCACGGTTTGAATGTCTTCTTGCAGCTGAGCTGCTAGCCTGTCAGTGGATGTTGGTTCAGTGAGCGCTGTGCGACTGTGGCTGGCTGTCTTGGGAACCCACACAGAACAAGTGGAGAAGCAGTCTTCCCAAAGGCCACAGTTAACATGCTTCGCACATGGCGCTGAATTGGGATAAGGAAATAAAGCATATGTGACCCCAAATAAACAGTGACATTCTCCAGAAAGTAATTTTTTTTTTTTTTTGGTGATTCAAGTGTATTGCAATCAGAAGACATATGCCATAGTAAACTTGAAGCATGTTCAAGGAGGCAAGAAGAAGTTTTAAAAGATAAAATGGAGAATATTGGAGCATGTAACCCTTGGACACAGACATTAAGGGTAATAGTGGCATCATTCAAAGACTGAGCATGTCCTCGTGGAGTACTCTGTCCTGGCTTCGGCCAGCTGTGGTTCCAGCAGTCCTTTGTAATCATTATTATCAGGCATCTGTCTTCATAATCTCCCAGCTTTATTTCCTTTTGTTAGGATTGACACAAGGAACTCCATTTTGATTCTGACGAAGTTCATGGTTGTTTCATACATACTAGTGCTAAATATGCACTAAATGTCGTACAGGAAAACTTTTATGTTGAACTTGAGGCAAGGCAAACTAGCCATTCGATTATTTGACTATTACTTCCGAAGACTTTACATGGTTATGGTACCAAATGGTAGTGGTTTAAGATAGAACAGTATAACTAGTGTAGAGGCTTGAACCCCCGGTTAGCTTCAGAAGCAGAAAATTCTCATTGTTTGAGGGCATTGAAACCTCCTGGAGGGCTTGCCAAAAGGAGCAACTACTTCCATCCCCAAGGGTCTGATTCCTACTAACTTCTCTGCCAGCTGTTGCTGCTGCTCTTGGGACCATCCTTTGTGAACCAGAGTTAAGGAAATTCTTAGATTTCCAGAAAAAATAAAAATGAAAACAGAAAACCACACCTGAAATAGTAAGGAATCCTTAAATAAATGAAAGAACAATGCAGGTTAATTATTACCCTAGTAATTTGTGCCTTTTCGTATAATTCATACGCAACTTTAGGCTGGTCTGTGTATCAAAGTGTTGTAAGTGAGCTGATGGGAATGTCCAGTAATATGCTTATTTGTAGCCTTCTTCCCTGGCAGGAAGTAGACATTCAGAAACTTTCTCTGGGCTCTACCTCAGTAGACTCTACCGAATAATTTGGTGATAGGCTGATGCTTCATTGGAAGTCATGCAGAGCCATTGTGTGTGTGTGTGTGTGTGTGTGTGTGTGTGTGTGTAGGCCACCTTGGCTGTCATTCCTTAGGAGCCATCTGCCTTGTGTTTTATAACCTAGAGCGACTGATTTGGCTAGGCTGGTGAGGTATCAAGCCAAGGGGATATTCCACCTCCGAGCGCAGGGTCCACAGATGCACTCTGCCTGGCTTTTTAATGTGGAAGCTAAGGATCTGAACCCGGTTCCCCATGTTTGCATGGGAAGCATCTTACTGACTTCAGAAAAGCTCCCGAACTTCCTAAGATAGGGACCTCCTCCATGCCTATTCCACCAGTCTGTGACTCTATCCAGATGTTTTTCTTTATAACACCTAGTGCAAACCAAAGATGTGTGTGTGTGTGTGTGTGTGTGTGTGTGTGTGTGTGTGTGTGTGTGATATATATATATATATATATATATATATATTTACTCTCCTCGACAATATGCAAACTCCCTGAAGCCAGACATTTTGTATCTTGTTCACCATTGTTTCCTCAAGCTAAATACAGAGCCAAGTACAAAGGAGGCACCCAGTATACCATGGATGATGGATAGATGGCTGGCTGGCTGGGTGTAAGGATGATGGATGGATGAATAATGGATAGGTGTAAGGATAATGGATGGATGATGGATGGGTGGGTGGATGGATGGATGGATGGATGGATAGGTGGATGGATGGATGGATAGATGCATTGACATCTTTAATTACAGAACAGTTGCTGTGTCTTAGATGGAGCAGTGCTGTCCACGAGAGTGCCCATTTGGATTGAAGCCTAGCTATAAGCCCAGCTCTCCCACTAATGTCTGTGTGAACTCAGTCACTCCTTATGACACTCACATGACCTTGTGACAGGCGCCTGAGCTACTGCACAGGAGCCACACACTGCCTAATTTGCTAGAAAGGAACTTCTGTTTAATCCCAGTCTTGTGTTGCTTTAGCTTTATGCTTTGACCAGCAGGGGGCGCTCCAGTTGTGCTTAATATCTTTTCACTGTGTTAGTTTATGCTGTTGGTGAACACATTAAACAAAAGAGATGCAGGTAATCACAAAACCTTCAAATCTAAAAACAGGATTCTTGCCATTCTAATCCCATGGAAAGTCCAGTTAGACTCACATCATATGATACCTCCCTCACTGGAGTTAATCAGAGTTACGTGTATCCTTTCCTGCCCCAGAGTACCAAGTACAGTGTTTCGTTTCAGGTACTTTTTAACATTTGAATTTTTAAAATAAATTTTATTTATCAGCGTGTGTGTGTGTGTGTGTGTGTGTGTGTGTGTGTGTGTGTGTCTGTCATGTGTGTGCAGGTACCTATAGAGACCAGAAAACGGCATCAGATCCCGGGAGCTGGAGTTACAAGTGAGTGCTGGGAACTGAACTCGGCTCCTCTGCAAGGACAGTCTATGTTCTTAACCTTTGAGCATCTCTGCAGCCCTCAGTTACAAACAGCTCCTTTCACATGTGTTGCCTCTACATTTCTTTTTTACCTCTTTCTGATATTCTGTGTAACTTCCCTTTAATTTGTCTCCACTCCACACACATAGCAGGATATGATCGCAGGACAGGGAGTTTTGCTGTGTTTACTTCATCCCCAGTACCTGATCAAATGCCTCATACATAACAGGAGCTCAGTTAATACATAAGGGACTTCCAAATGTTACATAAGAAAGACTCAATAAAGAATGAGTAAGTATATAGAAAATACCTTCTCATGTGGATATGTTTAAGTCAGCCCATTTTAAGGAATTTAGTACAGATGATTAAAGTGTTATTTATGTTTTTTTTTTTACCCAAGATTGCCCAAATAAAACTACTAAAAAGAGGGGATGGAGAGATGGCTCAGCAGTTAAAAGCACTTGCTGCTCGTCCAGAGAACCTGAGTTCAATTCCTGGCACCCACATGGTAGCTCACAACAATCTCTAACTCCAGTCCCAGAGGATCCACTGCCCTCTCTGGCCTCCTTTGGCACTGCATGCCCATGGTACAGACATATATGCAGGCAGAACACTCATACAAATAACATGGGGAAAAAACTTTAAATACTAAAGAAAGATTTGGTTTGGGTCTAGCAAAGTCCTCAGTGTACTGAGCAGTGTGTATAATGAATGAGTAAATGAAAGTGCTAGATTGGAACTTTAAGCACATGCAGAATAAAGCCTTCCAAATGGATGAGCATGCTATAGAATATATGCACACACAGTAAGGAAATGTAACTGGCCTCAGACAGGTCTTGATGGATATTGAGATAGTTGGGATCTCTGTCAGGAAGCCGAGGCCTGCACTGTGCTTCAAGGAGTAAGAATTAGAACAAGAAGTCCAGTTGTGTCTTTAGTGCTTGGAGCACTGAGGTATGAATGCATGTAGCATGTTAGAAACCTAATCCCCAGGGTGATGGCATTAACAGGTGAGGCCTGTGAGGGTGACTGGGTCCAAGGGGCAGAGCTTTAACAAGATATTGGAGCCCCTATTGGCAGAGGCCTAAGGGGCCCACCCTTTCCCCGGTGGGGATACTCTCTATGAGAAGTAGTCCTTCAAAGACACTGTGTGTATCAGCATTTTGATCCTGGCCTTCTTAGCTTCTACATCTGTGAGAATGTTCTAAACTCTCAATAGACGGCGTCTCTTTAGAAAGCCAAATGGACTGCAGCAAGCACCCATGACTGTTTGAACACCAAAGATGTTATTAAAGTGTAAAAAAGATGCTCATCTGTGCGATGAGGCATAGGCAATCTAGAGAAAAATTGTATGTAGATGATTCTTGTACAAGTTTAACATGTGCTGTAACTACCCTTTGAATTCCAAACTGTAGAAAGAGGGAGGGAGGGAGGGAGGGAGGGAGGGAAAGAAGGAAGGAAGGAAGGAAGGGAAGGAGGAAGGAAGGAAGGAAGAAAGAGGAGGAGAGAAGAGAAAAGAGAGAAAACTGGTCAACTGAGCAATGCCCTCCTTAGTGGAGAGGTGTTTTACAGTCTTCTTGGCTGAGGTATCTGGACCAGACCTTCAAATATGGGTGGGATTCTAATGACCACAGGTGACTATGGGAGGAGTTGAAGGTGAATGAAATTAATACTTTGTAATCCTCTCCCCCCGCCCAAAGGTGCTGTATTTGATGAAAGCACCAGAAAAGTGCTGGTTGTACAAGATCGAAATAAAGTAAGTTGTTCCTGCCTTATAGATTGCTTTCCAGATATTCTCCCTAGAGTAAAACAACACATAGAAATGTTGAGACGGCTAAGGGACTATAGAAAGATGCTTTAATAACTGTTTCTAAGCAGTTATGGAACATTTAGATACTTATTTAAATAAAATTGTGATGGAGGCCTGCAGCTGCCAGTGTGAGCCTCAGTGTCGTGCTTACTTCAGGACTGTAGACTGTTACAGGGGATAATGTTTAACAGGGAAGACACAGTGTTGAGGCAGCATTCTTAGCATCGCCAGGAGCTCTGCTCCCAGTACAGAGATTGAAGCCCTGCTACCCGACAGTCCTGCACAGTCTGGACAGTCGTAGAGGGGATTCTTAGCCATAGAGCTTCCGGAGATGCTGCAGAGGAGGTGACATTTCAGACTCAGACTAGGAGAGTTTCTTACCGGGTTAAGAAAGGAAGGAGGGGAAGGGAGGAGAGAGGAGGGGAGGGGAGGCTAGGTGCTAGAGAGATGGCTCAGTAGTTAAAAGCACTTGTTACTCAAACCAGAGTTTGGCTCACAACCACCTCCAACTCCGGTTTGTGGGAATCTGATGCCTTCTTTGACCTCTGCAAGTATTCTCATCCATGTGGCACACACACACACACACACACACACACACACACACACACACACAGAGAGAGAGAGAGAGAGAGAGAGAGAGAGAGAGAGAGAGAGAGACTCACTTATACACGTAATAAAAATTAAAAATAATTTTTAAAAGTTTAGAGGATAGAAAAATAAACCGAGAAATTAGAATTGACTGTGTGAAGGCACAGAGTTCAACCAGGGGCTGCCACACTGGACACCGAGCAGAACCATCACTGTGGTCAGGAATGCTGGCAGTGGGATTTGACTGAGAGACTGGCAATGGTACATAAAGGCCACGAGAGGAATCCAGGCTACTAGAAGCAGCAAAGATTAAGAGAAGAACCACAGTTAGAAATGTTTTCATGCTCAGCATTGGTGTCAAAGAGAAGGAGAATGCCTTTTCTACTTCCGTGGTGCTGGGAATCAAGTAGGGGCTAGTGCTGCCTCTGAGCAGTGGCCAGCCCTGCAAGGGTGATTATCTTTACACTTTCTGACCCTTCATTAATGTTGCTGGACAAAAGTAAATGTTTTCCTCATTACAACATCATAATTTCTCAGAAATGCTATCCAAAATAATTCTAAGTAACTTACAGTGCCTAAATTAAGGTCCTATCTCTGACTCGAACAAAACTTTCTATAAATCAACATAAACTCATGTAGCACCTAAGTTTTATGTTTGCATTGGGACATAAATATATACATCTAATGGTAATGACTAGAGAGTGGGGAATGTGATTTGACAGACATGGTAGGACCCACTGCGAGGGTTCCTGGGAGCCAGATGTGAGTTTAAACTTGAGATGCAGATCATAGCTATTGACAGGCTTTACTGTGATGACAGAATGATGGTGTATTGGAAGGTTTGTCATAATAATTCCAAGTTCTCAAGTGCCCCATTACATAATTTTTTATTACAAATAGAGTTTATGATGGTAGTATCCAATATCTTAATCAGTTTCCGTAGAAACAAAGCTTCCAGAACCATATCAAAGTGTAACTCAAAAGACAATGCATCCTCGCAGATGAGGTCGATTTCTGTGCTGGTAAAGTAAGGCATAATATGCTTTGTAAGTTAATGTCAAGCCTGAGTTGGACACAGAAGGCTGGAAAGTCTGGATTCTATACCGAGTAATCAACAGTGTATGGAAAGCAGGAATCCTGCCACTGGCCTCCACCTACACGTAGATGAGAGGTGATGCATGCTCTCAGAAGCATACTTCCAGGAAGCCAAAGGGTCACAGTGCACAGTGGAAGGTCCATAAAGGTTTTATGAATGAAGAGTATGAGATCTGCTGGTTTATGAGGTCACTCCTCGTTCTTGAGATTTATAGTATGATGAACACATACAGCAGAATTCTACAAAGAGACAAATCATGTCAGCCATGAGAAAACTGTCTTGTGCTAGCTCATAATTATTTCACTCTATTCTTATTTCTTCCAGAGGTCAGGTTTATCTCCTTAGCTTCCTCCCACCAAAAAAAAAATTTAGAAATGATCAATGAGAAAAATACAAAGGAATGATAGCCAAGAAACCAAATTAATTTTATTCACACTACTCATAAAAAGCAATAACATTTTACATGAAACTATTAACACACAGAAATCTTGAGTAATATCTGTGATTAGAAACAAAATACAGTAAATGCATGTAAAAATCTAGAGTAGCATACCTCGGTGGTTATATTTATTCTGTACTCTACTTATAGCAGCATCTGTAAGATCCTATTTGTTCATATTTAACTAGCAGCCAAGTTCTGTAAAGTACACAAATTAATAGATATTTCCCTCCAAAGGTTCATTAATACAATCTCACATTAGCTAAATAACACCACTTCTATTTCCTGAAGTATAAGAGGAAAAGACTTCATCAATTACCATCTCCCTCAAAAGAGAAAAAAAAAATGTAGTAGTGAGAAAGCTGGGAGAAATAGAGTAAAATTACTAAAAATAAGTGTTTACTGCTGTGACCAGCTGTGGGTGGACTAGGGTAGAAGATGGAGAGAGTCAGGACAGAAAGGGAGTGAATCATGACCTCACCTGTTCATTTACTTTGCACTGCAGTTGAAAAATATGTGGAAGTTTCCAGGAGGCCTGTCAGAGCCTGGAGAAGATATTGGTATGTATTTATGTATTTCTGATAAGCTTGAAAATGTTCAGAGAGTTAATATGTTTCCTTCACTGCTTTATTTATTTAAGAATAAGAATTTAAAATTTCTAATTGGTTCAGACCAAGTCAGAAAATTTCAGGCAGATTTCTGGAGGGCTGATATACAGTTAGCATGAGTTTTCTAGCACAACTCATCCCTACGGGAGCATTAACACACCCTTTCCAGGGGTGTTCTGAGGTCATCTGAAAAGGAACAACTTGAGACCTCCATCAGTAAAGTTCATTATGAAGATTTTTTCAAATAAGGCTACAATTACTAAATTTTGAACTTGTGATCATATTATGGTCACATATGGGTGGACAATAATTTTAAATGAACTTTGAAGTTTAATAAAGCCAGCTACAAGGAAATAGTGATATGATTCTCTCGAAGATTTTGCCAGCTCTTTATTATGAATAATCCAAAACATAATAAAATACCTTATGAGGAAGTCTCAAGTGGGAAATAACATGCCTCCCCTCCAAATTAGCTTATAGGGAGATAGGATGGAAGCTAAGGACTTAGTCACTGATCTACAAAGTATAGAACGATGCTGTTCCTTAAACCATTAGGTTAAATTCAACATCATCCTGATCAATAAACAATACATTAGATATTCATATTATTTCTCAATGACCTTTGCTTTAACGTGTACATTCTCATTTCTCCTTAGCCAGCCACTATATTAGAGCAGTTTCCTATGTTAGTTTATATTTGAGTTCATGTTCATGAAGACTTGAGTTTTTATATGTTACACAGATCCGAATGCCCTGTCTGTATTTACATGACCAGCTCCTAAAAACCCATGAGCATGTGAATAACATTCAGATATGTAAAACAAACCTTGGTTTTAGGGTCTCACTGACTGCTTAGTTCTCTGTGTGTGTGTGTGTGTGGGGGGGTAGTCTGTTGACAGTATGTACTCTAGGGACGTTGGTGTGATGGCACACACCTGTTTATCCCAGTACTGAGGAGGCTGGGGCAGGAGGATGGTGTTTCAGGCCACCCTGTGCTACTCAGACCATGTCATCAAAAACATCTGTATTTTGTAGGGTGCCAAATACTGAAAGCAAAGGCCATGTTTTCTATAAGACTACCTTCATTTTCTCCCAATACCTGTGTAGTATGTGAGGGTGTGTGAACAACGTAACTCAAGTCCAGCCTTCTCACCCTGCACACTGAGGGGAAGTCATCTGAGCCCCGTGCGCCTTTCCTTCCTGAGACATGCCTTTTCAAATGAATTGAGGTGTTTTTTTCTTTTGAACATCAGTAGATTCTAAGAATTTCAGACAGATTTAGATGTAAATGAAAAAACACATTTTCAAGTTAAGTATGTATAAATTCAGGTTTTAGTATAATTCCAGAATCTTTCCTTTAAGCCTAGATAATTTTAAATGTACTACTAATTTTTTAAGTATTTGTGGTTATCAAAATAGCCTATCAGGACTAAAACAAAGGCAGCAGTTGGCATTCACCATAGCCTTAGAACTTGCTCTTCCACAGCCTGTTTCTGTTGATAGCCAGTACAAAATAAAGACTAATGAGAAAGCCAGGGTCTTTAGACCACCAGGAAATTATATTCTTGAAACCTTAGTTTACGAAAGCATGAAACACACTTTGGGAATGTTGCCATCCTGAACATTTCGACATTCACTGGCTGTTAATTAGCCTGCTATTAAATACCAGTAAATAAATGCTAGTTAATTTGGAAACTCATTTGTTTGGAATCTTTTATTCTCTGATAATGCTAGGTAGATGAAACATTGATATGATAAATGTTTTAAGAAATTTAGTTGGAAAAATGCAGAACAAATTGAAGTCCTTAAGGCTTGAGTCTAAAGGTGTCTTGAACAGTTCAAAGGTATAAAATGCCTTCCTAAAACATGTCATTACCATGGGTGAAAACCGTATCTTGCTTCAGCTAGCTAGGGATGTTCAGCAGGGTCAGAGGGAGCTTGAAGAAACCCATATGCTGAAAGTTTCCCATCATTTTATTCCATCTCAAGACATTCTGTCAGTACATACTACAGAACAGAAGAAACTTGGAACCTCGGTACTGTCCTGTTGCAATCTAGTCTGACATTCAAGCAGCAAAAATGAGCTTCTAGATTCTTCACACACAGTAATTGTTATCTCGGCTGAGTTTAAAGTCTGTTTAAGTAATTGGAAAGAAACAACCGTTTATCTTGATCAATTTAAATTTCCGTTGGAACTGAGGGAGAGGCTTCCGTTTTGAGGTGGAAGGGGAGGATGGCCCGCCCACATCTCAAAAACAAAAGCACTGGATTGCACTCCGGTTTCAGTTAGTCGGTGATGTCCTGATTCGAGTTAAACTATTCAGTCTACCCAGGCAGTGTCTCTTCTGTCTCCACCGTGGTACTATAGTGACTGCAAAGCAGGACACTCACGCTCTCATTTACCCTGTCCTGTTTCTGTGATTTACAAACAGCTGGTCACATTAGTGGTGCTAAGAACTGAGCAGGATCCCCAAAGTTATTTTCCAGAGCATTTAAAAAATACATATGTATATATATGTGTATATATGTGTATACATACATATATATTTAAACAAGAGTTAGAGGCCACTATATAAACATTTAAGACTAGTGCCACAATTTTTAGTAATAAATTTAATAATGTATCATATTCTAGATGAAAACCATTTTCTTACTAGGGAAACATTGTGAGCCTAGAGTGTTCTTTGATGCCTCCTTTCCCTCCTCCTCATGATGTGGTACCAGGAACTGAACTCAGCATCTCACACAAGCTGAGGCAGGCCATCTTCATGGTGAGCTGTATGCCTTGTCTTGGTGCCTTCAGTTATGAGATGTAATTTCTGGCCATGCTTAACCTATGGACAAATCTCAGTCAAGGGAAGTCAGTACACAATTAAAGAATGGTGGGAGAAAAAGAAAAAGAAGCCGGGCGGTGGTGGTGCACACCTTCAATCCCAGCACTCAGGAGGCAGAGCCAGGTGGATCTCTGTGAGTTCGAGGCTTCGAGGCCAGCCTGGGCTACAGAGTGAGTTCCAGGGTTCCAGGAAAGGAGCAAAGCTACACAGAGAAACTCTGTCTCAAAAAACAAAACAAGAAAAAAAGAAAGAAAAAGAAAAAGAATGGTGGATATATGTCTTGTGTTTCAGACCAAGTTACTGTTCCTGTGAGCCTTTCCAGAACTGTTTCTTAGAAACAAGAGCATATCTTGGGGGCTGGTATGTGTCCAGGAGGCAGGAAAGACAGTCAATGGTTTGAGTGCCTAGGAACTATATGCTCTTGACAGCTCCTCATACCCCAGGCATTATCAGTAGAATTACTGGCAAGACAAACTTATGTGCTATTTGGCAAACATCCAGAGAGGCATTAGAAGGCGTTAAATAATCTATAACAATTCTAAAGATTACCAGAAAAGCAATCAAGGCAGACAGCTATAGAGCATCAGAATTAGTCAAGTCCATTCAGACAGTCTTCCTGGGTGTCTAGAAAAACTGGACATAAATGTATGCTAATGGCAATAAAAGTCCTGCCATAGAAATTTGTATTTTATGAAAAATATTTATAATATGTGAAAACCTTTGTTGCATTATAAAATTATATGCATTATGAAAATGTTTGATGAAACAACTATTGCATTTTGGGATTGAAAGAATGAACCTAAAGTTTTACGGAATCTGCTCTCGAGAAAAATCAGTTTCCAAATCAGGCTAGGACCCACTGGCAGCTAGGAGAGGGGCATAACCATGGGGAAGGACCTCGCCCTGTGGGGCAGTGGGCTTGAGATCACAAAGAAGTCAGAGTCATTTCACAGCTCACTCAAGTACATTCAGCACTACAGATTCCTGTAACAAGGGATGGGTCCTTTCTCTGTATTCTGATGTTCACAAACTCAGGGAGTTTGATGAATGTTCAGGGCAGGACAATAGTGAAGGATTTATCAGAATGTTAACTGCAGCTTTGTTTGCAAATGTGTTCTTGCCTTTGGGAAATAGAACAGAAGAGAGATTAAGAAGATGTGGCTCCCACATATGACACACGAATAAGCCCCCAAAGAGACCCTCGGGGTCTCAAAAGCATCTTAAAAACAAAGTGCTTTTCACAACCTCCAGAAAGCAGCTTGAAGACAAAGTTTTGCTTTTAAACTTCCAGATTTTAACTGAAACCCTTGATGGCATCTCTAGGAATGAAATCTCTGTTTCTCTCTCTTTCACATAGGCGACACAGCAGTCCGAGAGGTTTTTGAAGAGACTGGTGTGAAGTCAGAATTCAGGTCCCTGCTAAGCATCCGGCAGCAACATGGGAGCCCTGGAGCCTTTGGGAAGTCGGACATGTACCTGATCTGCCGCCTGCAGCCATGTTCCTTCACTATCAACTTCTGCCAGCAGGAATGCTTGAAGTGTGAATGGATGGATCTAGAAAAACTAGCCAGGATTGAAAACACCACCCCCATCACCAGGAGGGTGGCTTGGTTATTGCTGTATGGACACAGGGAAGGGTTTGACAAAATTGACCTCAGCATGGAGGAATTCCCCGCAGTGTACACAGGCCTGTTCTACAAACTCTATCACAGGGAACTGCCAGAGAGTTACAGAGACACAGCGGGAACAGATTGAACGCAAACACCAGAGGGAACCAAAGATGGACATGGTCTGCGCCTGACCCCTGGCGCCAGTTCTCTCACATACATGATTTCCATGGTGGAAATTCGTAAGTGTGCATACTTTTAAATCCTCCTCTCAAATAAAGAAAATAAATGAAAAAGACTGTGGCTCTAGTCATCCCTGCGTCACAACCAAAGGTCTGTAAAAGGGGGAAGTCTAAATTTTTCCCAAAACTTGTTTTTCTTTACTGAGGTAATGGTTAAGTGTTTTACTGTTACATAATGAGTTATCAAACCAGGTGTCCAAACTTAGTTGTATACATTCTTTTCTCTCCTTAACAGTTTCTAAAGTGAATCAGCTCTTAGCAGACATCGGGAGAAACAGTATGGCCTTCTGCCCAGGTCCTGTTTTGGATCCGAGTTTATACTGCCCAGTCCGCTTCAGTGCCACATACCAACTGGAGTACTTCCGGGACCGGTAAGTGTTGTAGTTATTAGATTCCAGCCGTTCAAAAAAGAAACACTCTTCTGTAACACACTTCTGGAAAAGAAAGGAAATGTTATTTTTATGCTTCTCGTGTCAAACACCCGTGAGAGGACAGCAAGATAGCCAAATGAGCAAGCCTATAGGTCAAAATGTGACAAGACAGTGGCACAGCCCCTCCTGGACGCAGTAGCCCAGGGACCATCCCAGCCCTGTGATCAGCCAGCAGGGTAGGCAGCATCCCAACGGAGGTGAAGGACCATACTACCGTAGACGCAGAGCTTCACAGCCTAACCGTTCAGGGATCCCCAGCAAGGCCACGTGCTGTACTGAGAACCATACCAGGAGGGCCATGTGCTATACCGAGAACCACACGGAGGGAAATTCCTCCAGGTGTGGCTCACACACCCCCTTCATCCCTGGGACAACTTTACAGTTAGGCATTTTCACTTTTACATTTCTCATGGGTTTCAAGGGAAAGTGTCAAAAAGGTAACCCAGAATACTCTTCCCACAAAGCATGGGGGACAGAATAAGTTACCTGAAGTTACAAGTGTTGGCTACTGGCTAAAGTTGCTTGTAGTTTGCCCTGTAGAAAACATATAAGGTTGCCTGCCAACTGCTGCCTGTGGGCATGAACCACCAGCACGCTGCATGACAGGTTTGGGGCTTTCTTAGGCAGACAGAAAAGGTTACAGATGCTCGGTAAAGACAGATCCAGATTGGGGGGGGGGGGGGGGGGGGGGGGGGGGAGAAAACCTCTCAATGGGCTACAGTGTGTTTAAAAATGTACAAAGACTTGGGAGAGAAAAGAAAAAGGGTATAGACAGTCTGTATTTGTGTGTGTGTGTGTATGTGTGTATGTGTGTGTGTGTGTGTGTGTGTGTGTGTGTGTGTGTGTATATATATATATATATATATAGTTTTAAAATAATAAAGTCCTTTAAAAGGGAGTAAAGTAGTATTTTAAAAAGTCACATAAAGATGGAAAATACACAGAGAGTCTGGATCCTGTATGTTATTGTGTTGTCTTTAAATTTTTTTGGCTGCTAAGAGACACTGGATTATGAAAGCTGCCAGATTAAACCAAACTTTATGTTTTAAAATACCTTGACTTCAAAATGGAAGTCAGAGGTGTGTTACTTTGTGGGAGAGGTTATGCTTTTATTTCCACAGGAAATGAGAGGCTGGGGATTCATTCCAGGCTAGAGATGCTCAGGTTTGATCAAGGAAGACCCCTGAAAATCCTGGGTACAGACATAAAAAAAGAAACCTAGAAAAACTATAAAACAAGTAATAGATATTTTACCAACTCAAACATAAAACAAAAAACATCTTTTACTGACTTGTACACCCACATATTCTGTACTTAGAATGTATGTGACCTTAAAAGTTTATGTATTTTCAGAACAAGGGGACCAAACACCAATGAAAAGGGATAGCCCAGGTGATCCAGCCTCTCAGAGTGCCTCTGTTGCAGTTTCCTCAGAGTTCTGCATCCAAAACAGCTTCAAGGCTGTTGACTGAGATGATCCAGCCCCACAAACTACTCCAGCTAAAACCTAACAATTATCCTAATTTTCTTAAGTTTCTCCCAAAGACACCAGCACCCACAAATAGCAGGAAGTAGTCTAGAGAATGAAACCCACATTCCCAAAAGATGGACTATTATCATTTCAAGGGGGTTGGTTACAAGTTGTTATTGGTCATGGGTTTAAAAAAAAGCTAAACAAAGGAGTAAAATTCAAAGATTTCTTTCTAAAGGAAGAAAATGGGGATATAATATAAAAATGATACAAGGGCAGATTATTGAATATACTTTAATCCAAAAAATCAACTATTAATCTTATATATTTTATATTGGTGTGGATTTTAGTTTATTGATACAAATTTAAAGTTATTTTTGTTATATTGTATGTATGTGTCTACTCTTGTTTAGTGTATTGTGCTCATTTTAAAATGTAATTATAATTAAGAAATACAGATTAATAGTCATCTATAATAGTCAAACTTATAGTCATGTCAGGTATGTTTTCAAAGTCATACACAGATATTCTTAGATAGGTAGATATAGTCTTCAAATACTTCAAAGACCTACAGAATATGGCATTTAATATGTTTAATAATCTAAGGCTTTTTATGGCAGTGAGACACATCTCCTGGCAGCACCAGTTTACTTCAAAGGAGATAATAGGCATCAAAAAAAACTCCATACAGAGTTTGTTTTCTTTATGACAAAAGCTAGCCATTTTGGCAAAGAAACTTCCCTTACCTCAATTACTGACAGTATACTGTCCAAACTGGACCAACAGGATACAAAAGAAAGCAACTGTCAAACTTTACCAAGACAAAGGAGGACAATCCTTCAAAATACCCTGCTTCTCAGAAAAGTTTGTCAGATATGCTAGGCCTGTTAGATATGTAGGCCAAAGATGGATACCCCAACATCACCAAAGAACTTTGGGTGACTGTCCAGGTAGCTAGATGTCCCTGTCGTTAGGTAACATTTCACCCTTCTGGGGTCTTTTTCTGGAGTTAAAGACTAAATAATTCAACTTATAGTTTTGCTTAGTTATGATAAAAAGTAAATTAGATATAAAACTTTAGACTCACAAAGATAAGATAAATAATAGAATATTTTCTCTAAATTTACCAAATACAAATGGACTGGATATTGTAACTTAGTTCTTACTTGATAACTGTTTTTGTTGTATATAATTTTACTATGTTAAAGTTAAAACCTTCCTCTTTTAGTTAGACAAAAAGGGAGAAATGCTGTGGAATAATCCTTCTGTACACTGTAAAAATGTGTTGCTTTCGTTGTTAATAAAAAGCTGATTGGCCCATAGCTAGGCAGGATTTTCGGGGCAGAGAGAATGCTGGGAAGAAGAAGGGCAGAGTCTGAGGAGTCTTAAGTCAGACACAGAGGAAGCAGGACTTGTAGAAAATGAGGTAACAAGCTGTGAACCATGTGGTAGAATTTAGATAAGAAATATGGGTTAATTTAAGTTGTAAGAGCTAGTTAGTAATAAGCCTGAGCTATCAGCTAAATATTTATAATGAAAAATAAAATACTCTGAAACGGTGGATGGTGTGAGATTGAAAAGCCAAATGCCAGTCAGTAAGAAAGAACAAAGTATAACATACTAGTTTCTGAAGAATATTCAATCTGGAACACACTGGTTTCTGGAGAATAAGCAATTCAGGATGTACTGGTTTCTTTTTGCTTACTTGTTTGTTTGGTTTTTTTTTGGTTTTTTTGAGACAGGATTTCTCTGTGTAGCCCTGGCTATTGTGGAACTCACTCTGTAGACCAGGCTGGCCTCAAACTCAAAGAGATCCACCTGCCCTCTGCTTCTGAATGCTGGGATTAAAGGTGTGTGCCACCAATACCCAGCTGGATGTACTGGTTTCTGAGGAATAAGCAATCTAAAACATACTGGTTTCTGCAGTTTTCATTTTAAATAGGAAGAAGGGACGCTGCCTTTTAGTTTCTATTTGCCTGCATGAGAAACACAAAATGGCTTTCAGATATCTGGGTCTGGAAATAATGTTGTGAGCAATGGAGTCTAAAAAGCTATCACATTATTTAGGGAAACGTTCAGAAATTAACTTCACAGTGTCACCTTGGGCCATGGGGGAATCAACTATTCACCTTAAAAGAAAACAGGAAAAAAAAATCACTGCCTTCTTAATAAGTATATATGTCACCCAAATGGTACTTATATAGAAAACCATATCCCTACCACAGTGGGCTCCATTTTCTTTTTAGTTAACAATGTTAGACTGGTTCTTCCTCAATAATCTTGTGAATTACACATTATAAATTGTTTCCACTGTTCTGAGAATTGACTGGCCATAAGATGTTTTGTGGCATGTTAAATGTCTGACCATAAACCTGTAACATATACATTTCCCATGATCATAAAAATAACTGCAAAATTCCGACTTTCAATCACTTGCTCGCTTGGTATTAAGAGACTACTCTGTCTTTAATCTGGGCCATTTTCATTCTCCTACAATGGGAGACTGAAAATATGGCCTGGCCATTATTAAATTTTTACTTTTCAGTATCTCAGGGTTAGTTCCTGGTTTTTTGACACCATAACATGGATATTTTTAAACATAACAAATAAATTCAAGATGTATAAATATATAAATATATGATTTGTATTAATAAGTATATTAGGTTCCACTTTAATATTTTTTGTAGATTTAGTTATTTTTATGTGTATGAGTGTTTTGCCTGTATGTATGTATGTATGTGCCCACAGAAGTAGAAAAGGGCATCAGATCCTCTGGAACTGAAACTATCAATGGCTGTGAGCCACATATGGGTGCTGGGAATCAAACCTGGGTCTTTTAAAAGAACAAATGCTCCTAACCACTGACCATTTCCCTTCACTAATAAATACAGAATGGTATTTTGAAAAATACTAGTGAACTTGGAATTCCATAGAGTACTACATGCAATAATTCCGAGAAGCTATTTGTCTTAGTTACTTCTCTGTTGCTGTAAAGAGATGCCATGACCAAGGCATTGTTGGAGTGGGTGAGAGCCAAGCAAGAAAGAGGGCTGAAATATTCCAGATCATGGCTGCGACCCATGTTTCTTTAGTATAACACAGATTCAGATGGCTACATAGATATTTATACATATGTGTATAAAGTTAGTAACGTACAAATCTCTGACAGAGCTTGGAAGCAACAACAGCTCCAAAAGCAACAAGCACACTAATCATGTATGATTCCACTTTCTAATAAAAGCAATAAGATTCCTTAGAGAAATGTATCACTCCAGGTTACAATGGGGGATTTACATGTGTCTTGGTGCCCAAGAAGTGATGGAGTGCTCAAAATAAACACATTGAGAGGTATCAAGAGCACAGAGCCAAATGCAAGAGTTCCCAAACATTTCAGCAACAAAATCAGTCTTTGGCTAAATACTTAATAAAAATGATTGAACTGAAGAGTAAATGGAGAATAGACAAATTTCCAACATAAACTTTAAAAAATGTATCTAGGTAACACTCCCACCCACAACGACATAAAGCAAAACCACCATAGTCCACCCTATAAGAGTAATTTAAGCTGGGTGGTCGTGGTGCACACCCTTAATCCCAGCACTTGGGAGGCAGAGGCAGGTGGATCTCTGAGTTTGAGGCCAGCCTGGCCTACAGAGTGAGTTCCAGGAAAGGCACAAAACTACACAGAGAAACCCTGTCTTGAAAAACCAAAAAAAAAAAAAAAAGAGTAATCTATATAGTGACAACCTTCTTGCAACACACCATCCTCTAGGTGTGAACAGCTGCATGGTGACATCCTTTCTGCAACGTACCATTCCCTGGGTGTGAACTGCTGCATGGTAACATCCTTTCTGCAACATACCATTCCCTAGGTGTGAACAACTGCATGGTGACTTCCTACCTCCAACACACCATCCCCTAGGTGTGAACAGCTGCATGGTGACATCCTTGCTGCAACATACCATCCCCTAGGTGTGAACAACTTCATGGTGACTTCCTACCTGCAAGACACCATCCTCTAGGTGTGAACAGCTGCAAGGTGGCATCCTTCCAGCAATATACCATCCCCTAGGTGTGAACAGCTGCATGGTGACTTCTTTATGATGCTCCATCCCTTAACAGTGAACTCCTGCTTAGTGACTCCCTTTCCAAGGAGAGGAAAGACTAACTTCAGAGTGGAGATACTCACTCTCTCAGCCAAATGATGAAGTCTGTACTTCTGTGGTTGTCCGCTCAAACTTTCAGAACTCTGTCTAGCCACAAGAAAAACACCAGGAAATCCCAAACTGGAGGATCCTAAAAATGACTGAATGTCAAAATAATGAAAAATAAGGAGAGTCTAAGAAATGGTCACTGTCTAGAGGAAACTACAGAGACAGGATGACCAAAGCTGGCCCGGAATAGGATCTTCAGGAGAAAATTAAAGTGTTATACGTCAGTATGGACTTTAGCTCCTGGTATCACAGGGTGACAGGCAGCCAGCCACCCTAAATGGAGAAACACAGTGGGCTATCTTCCTGACTTTCCTGCAAACTTAAAACTATTATAAAAGCAAATTGTATTTTTAAGAAAAATGCATCCTGATGTGATTATTATACAGTATATACCTGCACCAGACTGTCTACCCTGAGTATGTAAAACTGCACGACAAAGACAAAACACAAGGAATGCAAAAAGACTAGCCCTAAAACTGCTAATGGTACCCGAAAAGAACCCCTCCATCTGGAGGGGTGCCTTAGTGGATAAAGTGCTTGCTATGCAAGTATGAGGATGAAAGCTGAGGTACCCAGAACCCACATAAATGCCAGGTGGGGGAGTAGTGGCCACCTGCAAGCCCAGCACATGGGAGATAGACAAAGATTCCCCAGAACAAGCTGGCTAGCCAAACTAGCCCAAATCGCTCCAGATTCAGCAAGAAACCTTGTGTCTTAGTTATTGTTTCTGTTGTTGTGATAACACACCATGATCAAAGGCAACTTTTGGAGGAAAGGGTTTATTTTAGCTTACAGTTCCATATTACAGTCCATCACTGAGAGAAGTCAGGAGAGGAATCTAGAGGCAGGAGCTGATGCAGAGGCCATAGAGGGGTGCTGCTTACCAACTTGCCCCCTCATGGCTTGCTCAGTCTGCTTTCTTAGAGCACTAAGGACCACCAGTCAAGAGGTAGCTGGGCTCTCCCACATCAATCAACAACTAAGAAAATATACCATAAGCTTGTACATGGGCTGATCTGGTGGAGGCATTTTCTCAGTTAAGATTCCCTCTTCCAAAGTGACTATAGTTTGTGTCAAGTCCACATGAACCTGCCAGGACACCCTGCCTTGATACATAAGGTGGGAAGTGGTCAAGGAAGATGACAGATGTCAACCTTGGGCCTCTACATGCACCTGCATAACCTTGCACACACAACCACCACCTCCATCACACATACATGTGCAGAAAATAATTTCTCCAGGGGCTGAATGTAATCTCTAGTTACAAAATAAAAGCAACTAATTGTTTTTTAAGCTGTTTTTGAGTGTTTTTTTTTATCTCCACCACCCACAGACACAAGCTGTTTATATATATATAATGTGTATGTGTGTCCCTTTAGTTTATGTCCTTAAAATGTATCATCCCTTAAGAGTGAACTGCTTTCCCAGCTGCTGCTGTTGCCTGCACAAGAGTCACACAAGATCAAGATAGTCAACATTCTAGGCAGGAGGTGGGAGGGGCTTACCAGCCTCCACCCCTAACTGGCAGTTGATGGCTTCTAGGGGAGAGAATCAGTTTTCCTAAAGGGTGTGGCCTCTGATAGGTCAACCATGCTCCATCGTATGACCCCATACCCAGGAGTATATGAGCAGCATAAATTGAACTGAGTGAGTTTAAAAAGAAAAAAAAAAAAACAATATAAAGTTGGTAGGGGATGGGAAGGTGGGGATGGAAGTTAGGGGAAGAAATGAGGAATGAATATGATCAAAATATAAGGAATGCTCAAAGAATTAATAAAACTAGTATATTAAAAGAGTAAACTGCTATGCGGTGACATCTTTCCTATAAATCCCATGTGAAAATTTGGATTTAGTCTATCTGTTGCAGCATCCGTGCCTGCCACATAGCTAAATTAATGAGCAAATAAAATAAATGTTTTAGGTAGGTTAAAGCTACACTGATGTTTCAGAATCTGAATAGGAGAGAAACAGGGCCAGAGAAATCCAGCTTTGAGTTGAAATATGACTGTGGTTTAACTGTACTGACTACAGACTCTCTGAGGAAACTTAAAAGATGGCGCTTTCCAAGAGTCTAACTACCCTGACTGGACATTCATGACACGATGGCTTCCAGCCAGTCAGGCAGCCAGGGTTCCAGCTTTGCCTCACCCCCTAACTAATGTGCACAGTTTCCTGACCAAGTTCTGTCCCTTCTCTAGGCCTCACTGGGCCATATGAACTTCACAGTTAGAAAAGTCTGTGACACAGCAAGATGCCCCGTGGCTTCCCAGCGCCTGCCTCTCCTGTTTGCACGCTGGCTCTGGTCCTCATTCAGTTTTAGGCTTGAACCTTAGGGCCACTTCCCCATGCTCTGTTTTCTGAGTTGTTTACTCATTTACAGTACTTTGATTTCTGCAATTTTGGCTTATGAAGGAGTTTACTCAATAGGAATCTCAAAATGCATTTGATCGTACCACTTATGAGAATGAAAAACAGATGTGATGTAAGTATTCATGTTGAGCATTTCAGAACCAAATAAAAACCACAAATGGGCAAAGTTAAGAGCCAATGTGGTCTCAATCTTATAAAAAGGCTGTGGAGAATTGTTGGAAATGGCTTCTAAGGGCAGTAATTCTCACTTGGTCATATTTTCTGCATTCAATATAGCATTTCATCTTTTTACAGTGATGCAGCTTTTTTTTTAAAAGCTATTTCTGACAAATTTGATCAGTGCAGACTTTCAAGCTGCATACTGAACCCTAAAACGCTCTTTCCCTACTTTTCTATGTTGTAGAATTCATTTCGCTGTCAAAACCCCTCAAATAGGTTGGGTGGTGGTGGCGGCGGTGGCGGCGGCAGCGGCATATGCCTTTAATTCTAACAGTCAAGAGGCAGAGGCAGGTAGCTCTCTGACTTCAAGGCCAGCCTGGCCTATAGAGTGAGTTCCAGGGCAGCCATGGATACACAGAGGAAACCTTGTCTCAAATAAAATAGCAAACAAACAAAAACAAAACAAAAAGAAACTGAGTAAGAAGCCTGTCCTCTATCAAAGAACTCGAACTCCAAACTCCAAATACAGGTCTTTGTAGTGAGGTACAGCTACTGTTTGGACACTTGTATTCCTTAGCTTTGAAAAGAGGAAAGTCTCTTTTAAAAATTTTTTCAAGAGCTGGAGAAATGCTGGTAAAGTGTTCGCCATGTGAGCATGAGGACCTGAGTCTGAGCCCAGACTCACATTTAAAAAGCCTTCCATTGACAGGCATGATAGCACATGTCTTTAAACACAGTACTTAGGAGGCAAAGGCAGGTGGATTTCTGTGAGTCAGAGGCCAGCCTGGTCTACATAGGTAGTGCCAGGCTATCCAAGGCTACATAGTAAGACCCTATCTTAAAAAAAAAAAAAAAAAAGGTAAAAAAAAGCATGATGTCATGTGCATGCAATCCCAGCATTGGTGAAGTGGAGACCAAGGACCCTGGGGCTTTCAGTTCAGCCACCTTAGCCTACTTGGCAAGCTCTAGCAAGAGATCCTGTGCAAAACAAACAAAAACAAAAACAATAATGGCCTATTGACTCCAGTTCTAGGAGATCAGATGCCCTCTTGTGGCCTCCACTGGAACTGCACACATGTAGTACACACACAAACAAGCCGTTACACACATGTAAATAAAAAGAAATTTGAAAAAGTAAAGTGCACAGCATTTGAAGAACAATACTAAGGCTCTGGCCTCAACAGCATGTGTATCCACACATATGAGAACACACACACACACACACACACACACGCACACACGCAGGCACGCACGTTTTTAACTCATGAGCAATCTTTAACCTAATGCTTTCAGACCACTGTCCTGTAAAGGTGCTACAGTACACACCAGTCCTTTCTTGTACCTTCAACCGGCAGTAAAGTCAGCACAACTCTCTGAAGTTGTCTCCAAGAGGATGAGTGTTTGGGAACCACTACAGGAATCACAGAGTGGATGTTAGGTCCCAAAGAAACTCAAGACTAATGGCCATATCAGAATGGACCCTGACTACCAGGCTCCCTCTGTACCAGATACCTGTTACAGAGTCCTGGCTCCTCTCAGCACTTCTCACCCCTACTCTAAACCTCTCCAGCCTCTGAGCTTCCCTTACCTTTCCCCAGCTTCTCTTTTATATAACCTAGCCACTTCGACCGTGTGCTCTGTCTTGACCTCTTGGCTTCCTTCCAGGTTCTCTTGGTCCTCTGCTCTTGGCTCCTGATCCCCTCACTTGCTCCCCTCGCTCTTCTCTTCCTCTCTTGCTCTCTCTCCCCTCCCTCTCCTTGAATGACTGGTCTATTCTGCTGGGCATGTTCAGTCTGGACTCTTCCAGATGCCTCTGGCTGTTCTCTCCTTGTATCTACAATAAACCTTCTCTACTATACCTAGAAGCGGTTATGTCCTCTTTTTCATTCAGTGGGTGACATTCACAGCAATCCTGTGTTGCCATTACATACGGAGTGATGTGGGACCAGCTAGAAGGTGGGCAAACTTAAGCCTGGGCAGGCACAAGCTTTCAAACAGCTTCTCTAGACATGAGGGACATTCAGATCCCCAAATAATGGCTCCTGATCAGCACACTGGAGTTCCTCCAGAAGTCACTACTGTTGACAGCTCAATCCTGGCAGATCTGACTCAGGGAGAAAGGCCCTTTGGCATGGCCATCGGCACCTCTCCTGCTGTGAGGTACAGCACTCACTTCTTCAAAGAATGACAGTCCACCCTGACCAGCGGAGAAGAGGGATTTGCTGAGAATGCACGACAGCCAGTCAGCCGAACTGAATGCTGAGGCCAGAGATTAGGTCGTGACTTGGCAGGACTGGGCCCTCTAACCGGGGCTGGAACACACACCAGCTGTTACCACAGCTGATCTGGCTGGTGCCCTCCTCAGAAGAGCCCGGCAAATCTTGAACTATCTGTGTGTGTGTGTGTGTGTGTGTGTGTGTGTGTGTGTGTGTGTGTGTAACAGTTGGGCTTTGTCCCAGCTGAGAGTTTGTGACAAATGTCTAAATTTTCCTAAACTGACTCTTCCTCTATCAACTTGGTGGCAATCTGTTGCATCATGAAGAGTTGGCATGCACTAAGGGGATAGAAATCCAGTGAGACTCAGCAGGGCAGGATGGCCTTCACCTTGAAACACTGTCTTCTTTGCTGAGGTAGGGACTGGAAACATTGCCTCATTTTTTAGTACATTATGAAGCCTGACACCTATTTGTCAAGAGAAAAGGTCAGAAAATGAACAGCTCCGTTTCCACCTCTATCATCTTTAGCTTCTTTCCTCTCTTTTGTAACCCAGCCACCACAGAGATGGCAGTGGGCAGGTAGGCAACTTCCATCTCGGGGCTCTTGACAACCACGGTGCTTTCTAATCACTGCAGAGGGACCGGCCATCCAGCTTGTGTTCGTGAGACCAGTTCCTTTCCCGATTGCCATATAGGCTCCCTGTGATCCAGTCAGATCCCTGTAAGGCATTCACTGAGCCAGGTTAAAACAAGAGAAAGGACGGAGCCTCGAGGCTACAGGGCTAGTGCAGTCCACAGCCAGTTATGACCCAAACAAAGCGAACACTGCTCGGGTTTTGGTGGAGTCCAGAGAGTCTGCAGTTCCTTTCTCAGGCACCAACCCTGACCCAGTTGTGGCCCTGTGACTATGGAAAACTGCAGATAAAGCCTAGGAGGAATGTCCTCCAGCACAAAACATGGCCACAAGGCAGGAAGGAAAACTCAGATAAAGGGGGGAAAGATGGTTTGCTCAAGGGTCGCTTGTGGTGCTCTCTCTAGCAGCTAGCTACGCCATATAAGAGCAGCAGTGGGAAACGTAAACAGTGCTCATTCTTAAAGTGAACCCAGAGTCTTGTGCCTCTGTCTACCATTACCCTCCTTCCCGGGTCTCTGTGATGCCCACGGTTGTTCTGGCCATAGCAGTGTGTCCTCTTCAATCTGATTAGCCTCTGCACCACTCCCAGGCTCCTCTAAGCCACTCTGCAATGCTGGCAGTGTGCTCTCAACCAGAGTCAAACCCTACTGGCCTTGGAACTCTGCAGCCTCACAGTGAGCATGCTTAGCATGATGTAAGACTTGAAGGCAGGCCTGGCTGTTTGCCTTTCCAGCCTTCTTTCATCCATTTTATTGTGTTTTGTCATTTCCAGTTCACATTCCGGCTGTGGTGAGTTTAGAGATGTGCTAAGTGGCCTCTTGTATTCACAGCTTCGGCTCTACCTCTGCCTGGGATCCTTTTCACTTAACACCCCTCATAGAAGTCACCTCCCTGCATTCTACACAAACTGGCCC